TAGTTGTTCTTATCTTCTGTTATTTGGGGTTAGAAAATATAGGGAGATGAAACTTCTGAGGAAGCCCATGTCTAGCAAAATACAATTGATATAGCCTTTTCCTACCCTGACCAATCCAGCTGGCAAGGGAATTTTTTGACTAAAATCTTCTTAAATTTCTTATTTCTTTCATTAGAGTAAACTTTCAAGTTGTCTTTCCGTATTCTTATATTTCATTTCTACAATATTCTCTTTGCAGGTCAATTAAAAAGATCTTTCAGTCTGTCACCTCTTATCCCATGGAATTCTGAACTGTCATTCTTTGAGCCATTGAGAGAGGATAAAAAGGTCTGTGGTGTGTTTCGAGAAATTTGTTATATCAGCAATGTGAAAGAAGTCATGGTGGACATGCTGGAAACTCAATCCCTGCAAAACCTGGAATTTTTCTGTGTCCTGAAAGTGTACCTGGAAAACTCAGCATGTAAAGTGCCAATGGTGGCCCAATTCCTTGGGAACTTTAGGTTAACTTACTGCAAAGTGTCTCCTTTCCACAAAGACTCTTCCAGAGTCTGAACATCTATGAGCAGGAAAACTAGCCTTGAAGGGTTTTCATGCTAACAATGTGAAAAAGAATGGAATGTACACACCATAGTCTAGATTTCTTAATTTCTTTGTTTAGTATTTCTATGGGTTTAATTGTTTACTCATTCTGAAATATTATTTACTTACCATGTCTAAGGCACAGACCAGAAGAGACCAGGTTCTGGCTTCATGAAGCTCTCAGAGGGAAATAGAATAATTTCTGCCCTTAGAGTTGCCTCAGAGGTGGAAGGTCCCTGTCCCTGAGCCACTGTCATGTCAACCATGGCACAGACTCCATTGTTCATCCTCACATCAAAATGCAGGCATTTTACAGCTCAGGTCGTGACATGTATATTTCGGGCTTTGTGGGCCAGTGTGTTAGTTTATTATGGTTTTCCAGAGAAATATAATTGATATATTTCTTGGTTATTTAATATTATCCTATTGTTTGTTTGTATTTATAAGCAAAGAAAAAATTGGTTCACACACATTTAGATTTTCCTTCTCATCTCATGTAATGATCTATTTAATTTCCATAATTCTGATTTTCCAAGGACAGTCCTGGTATATGCTTACTGTCCTGAGAAATTATTAATAGTGACTTCCTTCACTCTCCAACATGTCCTTTAGATATAAAATTAGGAGATGACTGATCAACTAACACATTTCCCTTAAAATTATCTCATTTGTCTGTCAGACATTAATTGCTATAGCAGCTTTGCTTTGTTATAATCTTTTTCCTTTTTATTTTTCTAATGTTACTTCACCCTTTGTTTCAGGAAACTCTCATATAGCTGCATTATTGTCTATTATTTTCTTCCACTTATTCTCAAAATGTCTGTCTTTAACTAATGTGTTTAGTTCATTTTCACTTGTTGTGTTTATTGGTATGTTTGGATGGCTTTTAAAGCATCCTTTTTGCTCCCTGTCATGCATTTGCTATGTTTATTTTTACTTTTCCTTTGGATATACCAAGAGTTTACAAGTTCTTTTTTTAAAAGGAGATTTTACATTCTATGTCTGCCCCTTTACTATAAAAGTTACCTTTCATCGTTTCAAAACATTGCTATGTAACTTCCAAAGCCAACATTAATCACTATGACAGCCTAGCCCCTAAACAATCTTAGACTATTTTAACTTGAAACCCCTCCTACCATACAAGTTATTTTGGTCTGGCTGTATGATTACATATTTTTATTAAAACTCTCTGAATCAGTCGTTATAAAGAGCCTTATCTTATTCTGTCTTTCTGTTGATGCTTAAACATATTTTAACACTCTCTTTGAGCAGTGATTTTTCTTGAGTGTCATTACATAGCTCTGAATCTGATTACTGTCTTCCTGGAGTTTATCTGTTACATGTGCCCCAGAGAGAGTTTGTGAGCAGTGAAAGTGCTTAGATTTTGTTCATTTGAAAATGCCTGCATTTCACCATCATTTTTTTCCACTTGGCTTTGCCAGTTATGAGTAAATAAATACCCTCTTTTACTTCACAAAACTTAAGTTAGATTTCCATCGCATAAAATTGAGAAAGTCTTGATTAACACAAATAGTTTGAAGATTTATTTCTTTTTATTCCCTTGATCCCCCACCCCCACCACTTCTATCAGTTCTATTAATTCTTTTCATTTATATGTCTAAATGAGAAGATTTAATACAAGATATTGACTTACAACATAATGGAAGCTGAGAAGTTTCACAATCTGCTATCTGTAAGCTGGAAACCCAGGAATGCAGGTGGTGTAGTTCAAAAACCTGAGAGTCAGAGAGCTGATGGTATAGATTCCAGTCTGAGATCTTGAGAACCAAGGAGCACAGAGGGTGGAAGACAGGTGTCCCTGCTCAGTCAGGCTGAGTTAAATCAAGCTTGCTCCACTTTTGCATTCTGGTTAGGCCCTCAACCGCTTGGATAAGCCCATCCACATTGGAGAGGGCCATCTGCTTTCCTCAGTTTACCAAATGCTAACCTCTTCTAGAAACATCCTCACATAGATCCCAAAATCATGTTTAACCAGCTATGTGGGCATCCTGTGACCCAGTCAAGTTGATAAATAAAATTAACCATCACAGCCAAATAAAGGCGAACTTTGGAGGCAGTGCAGGTTCAGTTCCAGCAGTACAATAAAGTACATATTGCAGTAAAATAAGTCACACAATTGTTTTGGTTTCTCTGTGCATGTAGAAGTTATTAAGTGAGCAAAGCATTATGTTTAAAAAACAATTCACATGATCTAACTAGAAAATACTTTAATGCTAAAAAGTACTAACCATTCTGAGCCATTAGATAAATGGTGCTGATATACTTGCTTGAGGCAGGATTGCCATAAACTTTCAATTTGTAAAAAAAAAAAATGTAGTGTCCACAAAGTGTCATAAAGTGAAGTACAATAAAATTAGGGTATGCTTGTATCTATAGCAACAACTCAACTCTGCCATTGTGTCATAAAGACAGCTATAGACACTCATGAATAACTGAATAAACATGCTGTGTTTTAATATAACTTTATGCACACCAAATTTGAATTTCATGTAATGTTCTCATGACACAAAATATTCTTCTGCTGATTATTTTCATCAATTAAAAATCTAAAAACTTTTTAGCTTGTCAGCTGTGCAAAAACAGGAGGTGAGCCAGGTTTGGGCTATTGGTTGGTGCTTGCTGACCTCTGTCCTAGGATGTTCAAGAGAGCTCTTTGTCCTTCAATAATTTATTTATTCACTATTCAAATATTTGATTAGCACTTGCTCTTTTGAAAGGGATGATGCTAGCTTGGAGGAAACTGAAACAAACCAGGCAGACATAATTTCTGTGTCCAGGATCTTGAGGACCTGTGTATTAGTTAGCTTAGGCTGCCAAAACAAAACCTCACAGACTGGGTGTCTTAAACAAAGGGGATTTATTTTCTCACAGTTCTGTAGACTGAGAAGTTCAAGATCAAGGTTGACAGAGTTCAGTTTTGGGTGTGAAGTCTCTTACTGTTGTGCTGAAGTCCACCTTCTTACTGCAGGCTTACAAGGGTTTTCCTCTGTGCTCAAACAGGGAGAGATTAAAAACGAGGGAAAACAACAGATAAAAAGGTCTTGTGTGTCTTTTGTGACAAGGGCACTAATCCCATCATGAGGGCCCCACCCTTATCTAATTCTGATTATCTCTCAAAGGTGTAATCACATATTCCACCAAGTTGGGGTTAGTGCTTCAAAAGGAATCTTTCTGGGGGTTGCGGATACATGAACATTCAGTCCACAGCAGTGTGTAAGGTGGGAAACCAGGAAACCTGGAAAATGCAGTAGAGTAGATACTGTGGGGACAGGGTAAAAGGTGGACACAGCCATGGCTGGGAAGGCAGGTGGGAGGGAGCTCTAGGGCTAGCTGTTGGAAGTATCCCTAGATGATTATGATTTGGGAGGCAGATCTCAGCATTTACCCCTTTGCTTTCTTTTTAAATCTACTAAATCTATTTTCTTTATTTATAATGCGAATAACAGCATTAATTTTCTCATGAATGTTCAGGGAGAAAATAAAGATTAAGTTCTAGTGTGAACCACAAAGACAAACAAGAGTTAACGAGGGAAAGTGGACTTGGGGATCTCCCAGCTTATTGCTCCAGAACTATGTCACCGAGTCAGAAACTGCCGTGAGACACGGCTCTGAAGTGGGGTTCCATTTCCCACACTGGGGTCCCAGTACAATCCCACTCCCGTCAAAGGGAGCGGGGAGGGCTAAGGCACAAGGATGGAGAGGCCACTCCCTCCAGCTGCACTTCCGGGGTCTGCTGTGATAGCTCATATCACCCAGCGCCCCCTTTCTGGATCCATGGTCACTGTATGAATGAGGAAACAGGAGCTCATTCAGGATTGAGCCCCCTGGTGGAGAACACAGGATCTGGATGCCAGGAGCGCCTAACAAAAAAACCGGAAGTCAGGACGCCACCCAGCACAGAACTAGAACCGTAAGTTTAAAGGTCAGGGACCACAAAACTACCAAGAGCAGAGCGTGCAGACTTGGAGTTCTCAGGCCCCAGGAATGACTTTGATATGCAGAAGTTGGATCTGGGTCCTAGTGATCTGAGCGTTCTGGCATGAGCCTGGTTATGGAAGTTCCTCAGGGTTAGTGGGGCGGCCTCAGCTGGCACCCTGGAGAAGGAGGCAGGGATGGAATGAATGGAGGGACCCATGGGGGCAGCTCGGAACTGAGCTGGGTCAAGTCAGTCTTGCCCTGGGGCATTCTGGGGTGGGAATTTGAAAGACTGATAGTGAGAACAAGACAGGAGTCTGGGAAGAACTGCATGGAAAATTTTGTGAATGAAGATGGAAAAATTGGGAAGATGGTGAGGGAACCTGATAGGAATTGACTTGTATTGGAAAAGACTTGTGCAGGGAAAAAGACATTTTCTCTAGGAATTTGTGAGGGCTGATGTTAATAAATAAATAACTAATTAATAGATTTATTTACTTTCCTGTTACCTTTTATTTACAGTTTTCAAAATAAGATGAATTTGAACTGATAAACTCACATATGCTGTTCATCTAGAGTCAACAACTACAAAAATTTAGAATCACACTGAAGTTCTTTCTTAAAGTATATGCACACATATACATGTTCTTGCTGAAATATATGACAGTGGCAGATATCATGACACTTCATTTTTAAATATTTACCAAATATTGAAGAATTTATATAATATTTTCTACATACCTATCATACTGTTATTACACCAAAAATGATCAATTTTCATAACTTTTTAATAATTCATTTAAAATTATAATCAACATACAATATTAGTACCAAGTGTACAACATAGTGATTAGATATTTGTTAATAATAATTGTAATATCTGATACATGTAGATGATTCCCCAGTTGCCTCCAAAATATTTTTATGGTTGTGTCTCTAAATCAGAATCCCAATATAATTCACATTGAATTGGATTGTTATATTGCTTTTGTCTGTTTTTAGAATAGCCTGTAATCACTTTTCAAGTAATAGTAACTATTTTTTAAAATGATACTGACTTTAGAAGTGTCCAGATGACCTGGCTTGTTGAATGCTCTATATTCTTGATTTGCCTGATTGCTTCCTCATGATGTCAGCTAACTTCTTATTCTGTTCCCTATATTCCATGTACACTGATACTTAGGTCTGAAAGAACAGATCCCGGCAAGCTTTTTCTATAATGGGCTAGCTAGTAAATATTTTTCTGGTTTTTTTTTTTGCCTTGCAGTGTCTTCACAACTACTCAGCTCTGCCAATGTAGTATGAAAGGAAACATAGACAACCCAGCAGTGAATTACTTTGATGTGTTCCAATAAAACTTTATTTACAAAAGCAGGCAGATGCCCAGATTTAGCCTGCATGTTATAGTTTTCCAACCCTCGATCTAAAGGCTGAGTTAGACTTAGGGTAGACTGATTTGCACATAATTCATTATTTACCACCCATGGGATGTTGGAACTTCATGTCTTATCAGGAGATCTATAAAGTCAGGTTTCCCATTATTGACAATGTGAATCTGACCATTAAGTTCAGATCTCCCTATTATAAATGTGCACTTTGGCCCTTGTAATTAATCAGTAATCTGTGAGGTGGTTGTTTTGGCAGTGTGGACTAGCCTGTTCTCCAATTGCTTTTCTCATTGTATTTAGTGCCTTTTACTCCGTATTGAAAAATCATGAATTTCCACTTCTATCTTGTCTTTTACAATTATTGGCTGATATTTTTAGGTATCACTATGGACTCATGAATGTTTTCAATGTTATAACCATTTACAGTAATTTTCTGTGGTGTTCAAATTATACAAATGTGTTCTGTGGAAACCCACAGGAAATTTCTTTCAGGTGTAATTGCTCTGGAATTAGATCTTGCCTAGATCGCATGTTTTGGATGAAATAATATCTATAAATACATCTTATATGATGTGCTGTAGGAATATACACCTTTTCCAGAGCTCCATTTGTAAAATGTAAGGATATAGGGACTCTATTGATTTTATTCTAATTTTTTTATGTATAAGCTCTGTGAAATCAGGAACTAGCATCTCTGTGGAGCAAATTGTGAGTAAGAAAACTACTTTTTGAGTGAAAAGTCAGTAAGTCTCTAGACATGAAGAGTGAAGAAATCAAGGCATGTAGGTAGGGAGACCAAATACAGGTATTTGACTGAACATTATTTTCCTTTTTTATGCTGTTATAAGAAAGGTGTTTGAGATGGTTTTCCTTGTTATGCTTGAGGGACATTTTTGTAGAAAAACAGGTTGAAGTGCAGGGGTTAATCCAAGACTATCGAGGAACTGGGTCATAGGTCCCTGACTGTTCTGGGAGTGAGCTGAGCATGCTGTGTGGATCAGAATATCCCAATTCTCCAGCAGTTGAATGTCAAACATTTTGTGCATGGTCTCTCACACAATGGTTCCAGGATAAGTTACTTGTAACAGACAAAAAAGTATTTTTTATACTCTTTGCCCAAAGGATGACAGTTCAGTGTTTTCCTCATTTTCCAGGGGAAAGGATCATCTGGTTTGCTTGTTAATTTACTCCTCCTGAGAAGGAAGATGTAAAAATGATATGGTGTTAAAAAGTGCAAGACTTGTAAAATGTCAACTAGAAAACATTGTCAAAAGACATCAAAGAAGCTAAAGAAATGGAAAAATTATTACATGTTCATGGGTCAGAGACTTAATATAGTTATGCTGACAGTACCTCCACAGTGATCTACAGAGTCAACACATTCCTTATCAATATCTGAGTTAAAATTTTTTTCAGAAATTGACAAGCACATCCTAAATTTGCATGGGACTTGAAAGCATCCAAAATAGCTGAAACAATCTTGCAAAAGAAAAAAAATGGACTTCTGGACATGATGGACGTGTAGGTAGACACACTCACTGTGCCTCCTGGCACAACCAAAAGAAGGACAACAACAATTTAACAAAACAAAAAACAACCAGAACTGACAGAAAAATGAATTGTATGGAAGTCCAACAACCAAGGCACATTCATCCAGACTGGTAGGAGGGGTGGAGATGGGCGGCCTGGCAGAGAGGACTCTCGGGAGGGTGGTGGCTTGCAACCCAGCAAGGCAGTGAATTGTAGAGCAGGGTGCACAAGGCTGCAGCTGGCTGGCGAGGCAGCAACAGGTGGACCCAGCGAGACAGTGGATTGTGGACTAGGCTGTCCCACAACCACATGCAGATAAACTGGGAGAAACAACTAGGGGGGCTGGATGGACTTTGAAACCCAGGGCCCCAGCGTGGGGAAATAAAGCCTCAAACCACTGATGGAAAACCCATGTGGGGGTTGAGGCAGCAGCAGGAGAAATCCCCAGCCTCACAGGAAAGTTTGTTGGAAAGACCCATAGGGTCCTAGAATGTACACAAACTTACCCACATGGAAATCAGCACCAGAAGGGCCCAATTTGCTTGTGGGAAGCAGGAGAAGTGACTGAAATCCAACAGAGAACAGAGCAAGTGCCGTTGTTCCCTTTTGGGCCCCTTCCCCACATATGGCGTCACAAAGCAGTGACATGGGTTACCCTGCCGTGGTGAACACCTAAGGCTCCACCTCTCACTACATAACAGGTGCATCAAGACAAAAAAAATGACCCAAATGAAAGAACAGATCAAAGCTCCAGAAAAATACAACTAAAAGATGAAGAGATAGCCAACCTATCAGATGCACAGATAAGTACCATTACACTGGTAATGGGGATGCTCACAGAATTGGTTGAATTTGGTTGCAAATTAGATGAAAAAATGAAGGCTACCTTAAGTGAAATAAAGGAAAATGTACAGGGAACCAATAGTAATGGGAAGGAAACTGGGACTCAAATCAACAGTGTGGACCAGAAGGAAGAAACAAACATCCAACCAAAAGAATGAGGAAACAAGAATTCAAAAAAATGAGGATAGGCTTAAGAACCTCCAGGACATCTTTAAATATTCCAACATCCTAATCATAGGGGTGCCAGAAGAAGAAGAGGAAGAGCAACAAGTGGAAAAGTTACTTCAACAAATAATAAAGGAGAACTTCCCCAATCTGGGAAAGAAAATAGACTTCTAAGAAGCCCAGGAAGCTCAGAGAGTCCCAAAGAAGTTGGACTCAAGGAGGAACACACCAAGGCACATCATAATTACATTAGCCAAAATTAAAATGAAGGAGAGAATCCTAGAATCAGCGAGAGAAAAGGGAGTCAGTTACCTACAAAGGAGTTCCCATCAGATGTCAGCTGATTTCTCAAAAGAGATCTTAAAGGCAAGAGGGGTCTGGAAAGAAGTATTCTGAGTCATGAAAGGCAAGGACCTACATCCAAGATTGCTCTATCCATCAAAGCTTTCATTTGGAATGGAAGGGCAGATAAAGTGCTTCTTAGATAAGGTCAAGTTAAAGGAGTTCATCTTCACCAAGCCCTTATTATATGAAAAGGGAAAGGGGCTTATCTAAGAAAAAGAAGATAAAAACTATGAACAATAAAATGACAGCTAACTCACAATCATTAACAACCACACCTAAAACAAAAACATAAATAAACTAAGCAAACAACTAGAACAGGAACAGAACCACAGAAATGGAGATAACATGGAGGGTTATCAACAGAAGGGCAGGAATGGGAGAGAGGGGGAAAAGGTACAGAGAATAAGTAGTATAGATGGTGGGTAGAAAATAGGGGGAGCATAAGAATAGTATAGGAAATATAGAAGCCAAAGAACTTATAGGTGCAACCCATGGACATGAACTAAAGCGGGGGAGAATGTGGGTGGGAGGGTGCGCGCAGGGCAGAGGAGAGTGAAAGGGGGAAATGGGATAACTGTAATAGCATAGTCAATAAAATATATTGAAAAAATTGTAGAGTCAATGCCCCAATTTCAAACTTGCTACAAACTATAGTAATGAAGATATGATGGAAGAGAGTTAAGTGTCCAAAAATAAAACCTTATATTTATGATGAATTGATTTTCATAAAATGCTAGTACAATTCATTGATGACAAAAACACTATTTTCAATAAAAGATGTTGGGAAAGGTGGGCATTCATATGTACAGGAATGTGCATCTCACACCATATTATAAACCTCAAACTATTTAAAAAATTAATTCTAAACATATACCTAAATGTAATAACTAAAACTATAAGCATTTTGAAGGAAAACTAGTATAAATCTTATAGGTGTTAGCAATTATTCTTTAAATATGATACCGAAAGCACAAATAAGCAAAAAAAAAAAAAATAGATGCTCAATATCATCAGACATTAGGGAAATACAGATTAAAAGCCTAATGAAAAACACTTTACACACACTAAGGGATAAACACCTAAACCAGCCCTGGCTGATGTGGCTCAATTGGTTGGAGTGTCATCCCATAAACCAGGAAGTCGAAGGTTTGATTCCTGGTCAGGGCACATTCCTGGGCTGCAGGTTCAGTCTCCAGTCAGGGTGTGTGTGAGAGGCAATGGATCGAGGTTTCATATATTGATGTTTGTCTCCCCATCTCTCTTTCCCCCTTCACCTCTTTCTAAAATTAATAAGCATGTTCTTGGGTGAGGATTAAAAAAAAAGCTAAACCACTAGTTTTGATGAGGATGTGAAGGAAACTGGAACCCGTATATACCTTGTCTTGTTCCTTGAGGAATTGGGAACCATTTTGGAGATTTTTATGCAACATGGTAGAATATAAAATTTCTGTGTTGAGGAGATAAATCTGAGTTTTATGTGACCAACTACTGGAGGAAGGACAAGAGTAGATGGGGGAGACCAGCCAAGTGGGGATGACAGCTGGGTTTAAGGAGGAGGTGTTAGAGTCGGTATCAACAAGGAGGATCTGTGACTGCTGATGAGGAAATACTAGCATGGTTTAGCAATGAACCAATTTGGTGCAGAACAGGGGAGGGGAGAGGATAATGGTAAGGATTTTCCAGGTCATGACTGGTACAATGTGATGAATGGAGATGCTACTCAAAGAGATGAGAAACCCTGAAGAGGAGTCAGTTGGTAAAAAAAAAAAAAAAGAGAAATTCTTTTATTGCCACGTTGGGATGCTTCTGAGATATCTAAATAGAGGTGTCAAGCAGGCATTTGGGAAGAGTGTGTCTGGGGATCATAGGTAATTCAGAGCTACAGAAATATATTTGGCCATCATTTCCTTCTGCGTGGCTCATTGAGTCCCTGTAGACAAAGCTGTCTATGAGGAGAGTATAACATGAAAATGGAAATGTTGCTAGAACAGAAATTTCATCCAGAAACAGGAAATCCAGGGATGTTGTTATATAGGAGCCAGGGACAAAAGAGAAGTCTTATGGTGGAGGCAGTAACAACAACACCCAATAATACTAAGAGGACAAAAAATACTTATTTTATCCAGTAATATGAAGGTCATTGAAGGCTTAAGAGAAAGCTGTTTTGGGGGAATGGTGGAAGCAAATGCCAGTTTTGACTGTGTGAGGAAGGAGAGGAAGGAACAAGTATATAACTTTAATAATTTTCAGTAAGATAGGGATTTCCCATGTTGCCATAAAGGTGGAAAGAATGCTGTTGAGAAGGTGAGCCTGTGCAAAGATCATAGAGAGAATGTATGAATAGTAAAGTAAGTAAAGAGGAAGTCCAGAATGTTGGGAACCAAAATGCAATAGAAAGATTAGCCTTAATATCCAGAAGCACATTTTGTCTGTGGCAATAGGATTGGATGAGGAGAGAATGAACCAGGTGTTGAGTGTCTGGTATTTTGAGAGCACAAAGTTGACTTTGCTTCATCCTGCTGATTTCATTTGCTGTGAAAGAGAGTGGTAGAAACTTTTGCTGGGAAGAGGAAATAAAGGAATGAGGTTTTTTAAGAGTGAAGAATTTTGGAAGGAGCAGTGGTAGAGTGTTGGACAAACAAGTGGGTGAGTAAAATGCATAAGGCTTGGCAGGCACCGTGGTGGGTCCATGAAAGTTGGGAGAAAAAAATGAATTGTCTGAAAACCTGGCACAATTCATATAGATCCTGTGAGTCCCACCGTGTTCACCTACCAAGTGGGAACATAGTAATACTTATCTCCAAGTGCAGATGTGAAGAACATGTGCAAGAAAGCATGAGACAAGGTTTTGTTAACCAGAAGGTACAAATGTTCATTGCCATTGCCAGGACCTGTCCCCAGCCATCTGCAATTCTTCATCCTGGCTTTGCATTATTTGTGTGTGTTGAAAACACGAGAAGTGGTAGCAGAATCTGATGGAAAGTGTGAAATCCAACCTAACACCTATTTCCCTGACTGTTGTGATGACATGTACCATGTGTTTGTTGTTGTTCTTCATATGGAGAGGAGCCTGGAATGACTTGGGACAAAGGGTGGTGCTATGACTGTGCACTTTGAGCATCACAGCTTCACATCACCAGTTTCCTGCTTGTTGAGCTGACTGTAGCTTCTCTCTCTGCTTATGAGGAAGTTTTGTGTCTTCTCACTCACTAAGATTAAAAACCACATATACCATGTCACACAAAGTGGGTGTTCTACACAAATAGAGAGTGAGAAGATCATCATCTACAAGGGTAAGGTGAGCACAGAAACACAGTAAGTGAAACTATGGGAAGACCTCTATCCATGACAAGAAAATGCCTTGGAGTGAGTCCACAAGTGAGGGCAGTGGGAGCTGTGCTAGGGCATGTCCTGCTATACATGCAGGTTGTCCAGTGTGATTGGCATGAGCTACTTGAATGGATCAGTTTGTGAAGGGCTCTGGGAGCAATGGAAGACCTACCACATTGTCTTTGGAAGCTTCAGACATGGCCATGCTGGAGAGGGTGTACTTCCCAGAGTCTGCTTTGGTTTTCTTGATTCCTTTCAACCATTGTCTGTATTGTTCCCGGACCTGTAGAGGCAAAGCATGCTCTGAGTCAGCTCACTGAGAGGACTGAGAATAGAAAGGGTGCTAGGTGGGAGTTGGACTGTGGTACCTGCTGGCTGAGGAGACAGTACACCAGGAAGGTGAAGATGCCCTGCAGGCTGTTGATGATGGTGAAGAGATAGGCCATGGCAGGGGCAGCTGGGCCCAGCTGCAGGACTCCCAGACACCACGTGCAGCCTAAAATGAAGAGCTGGGCCATTGCTTTAAATGTCAGCATCCTGAGTAGGAGGAAAAGGGAGGCCCATGGTGCACCCAGAGCAACAGAATCAAGGCCACTGTCATCTGCACCCTATGGATGCATGTGGCTGAATTGTGACCCATTTTGATCTTTACTCCCTGATCTTGATTCCTTCAAAAGAAGTGCTCTTTGTGTTCAGCATGACAATTTTAGTTGGACAGAAGTAGTGATAATTATTTGTTTAAAAAGAGTTTGTTTGTTTATTTATTTATTTATTTATAGAGAGGGGAAGGGAGGGAAAAAAGAGAGAGAGATATGAGAGATCAGTTGCCTCTTGCATACCCCACTTGGGGACCTGGCCTGCAACCCTTGCACATGCCCTGAATGGAAATCAAACTGGTGACCTTTTGTGTTGCAGGCCAGCACTCAATCCGCTGAGCCACACCAGCCAGGGCTGAGATAGTGATAATTCTTAATATGGGTTTCAAAACGATCATGATGTATCAGGAATGTTGAAAATTTCGTTCAACTGACATTGCTGAGAAGTTCAGTGCACCCAACTCTGTGCTAGGTCTTGGGCTTCGGAAATAACAAAGACAATTTTTGTGTTCACAGACCTTACAGTTTTATAGAAAGACTAAAACAAACAGTCACTTTTAATATTTGTGACGTGTGAGCTACCTCTGCCCAGGTCCCATGCAGGTCCCTTCTTCTCTCCCTGAACTGCCCCCAGATGTGCTTTCCTCAGAATAGAGGCCATTCATTCTGTGTAAAGTTGAGGAAGCAAAGGACACCCCTACCCTTTCAGAAGATGAGATATGTGGATAAAATAACTTGATTTTAGCAGGTGTAGGAGTGGAGAGGACAGAGAGAAGAGCCTCCATGAAGGTGTGGGCATGAATGTGCATGTGGGGTTCTGGGAACAGGTAGGTGATTTCCTAAGAGTTTTATTAAAATGTAAACATTCTCTGGATATTTTTCATAGGGGGCAATGGAAGTAATCCACATTTAACAGAACAAAGTCAATCCCTCTGTAGCTGAGGTAATTTCATGCTGGATTTATGGAAAAATGAAATATTTTTGGCTTGCCTTTTGGCAACAAAGCACAGTATTTGAGCATGGTTTCCAAGGAGGGTGGCTGCCTTTCTCCTCCTGTCCCCTCTGAATCCCTGTGAAAGGACACCAGGAGCTTGGAACCATAGGGCCTTGCTCCTGGACCCTGCTTTGTGTGGGGCGGTGTGCCCCTCTGACCCATCTCACCTCATGTTCTGAAGGGTGGACACATCACTGTTGAGGGAGGAGAGCTTGTTTTTCAGAATCCAGATGGTCATCAGAAAGAAAGCCCAGTTAATCTGCAGAAACCCCACAAGGCATATTGAATACATGCCACATGTGTATAGCTTCCTCCTAGCTCATTGAACACCTAACTCAGTAGGTAAGAAGCTTTCACATTTCATAGCAGTCATAGAAGAAGTGACCACCCATTCAGTAAATCTTGGTCCCTCTTGTCCTGTAACTCGGGTGACCAACTTGTCCTAGTTTACACAGGAATTCCCCCATTTCAGCACTAAAAGTCCAGTGTCTCAGGAAACCTTTGCATCCTTGTTTTAAACCAGAAATTTTGCCTTCTGTAAGCCCCTTCATTCCTGGAAAAATGAATTATTGCTCATTCTGCCTATAACCTCCTTATATACCTGCTCTTTGATTGACCCTCAGTTGAGCAGGAGAGATGCTCTGATGCCATCCTTTACTCACAGAGATGATGATGCAGACGGGGCCAAGGAAGGTCCATACAAATCCCTGTTGTGTGTGGAGCCAGCATCTAGGACAGAGATGGAAAGGAATTGGTGAACCTATTTGCTTTTGTGGATAAAGAATCAATAAATTAACATATCTTTCACCTCCCACAGTTTCTTCTCTTTTCTTTTTGTTAATACTATTGTTGATTTTTTTTGGTAACAATATTTATGCTAAGAACTATCCTCTTTGTGAATGTTATGTATATAATACAATATTGCTAATTATAGGCACTATGCTATCTAGATCTCCTTATCTCATTTTTCTTTCATAATTGAAACTTAGGGTGTGGCCCTGATGCTGGTAATGGTCCTGGCTGTTTACTTATCTTCAAACTCATCACGTTACACATATTAACTATGCACAGAGTTTTACAAATCAATCATGCCATAATAATGTGGTTTTAAGAAAAGATAAATTTGTTTTAAATAAGTATTTTAAGAGGAGAAGGAAGATGGCAGCTTTGTTGGAGGGAGCGTAATCCCCTTCCTCTATGCAGGGGAGAGAAACTCACAGATTTGCGGAGGAACAGAACAAGGGGACTAGATTATCGCAACATTTATGAAAACAGGACATCAAAATTATAGCGGACATTGAAAAACCAGATGGTCAGGAGACTGCTTCAGGATAATAAGGGCCCAGGGATCAGCTCGGGGACCAGGGGGGTTGCAGCCCCCAGGCCCAGTGCTCCCGGGTCTGCCTCAGGGCACCCGGGAGAGCGGAGTCACAGCTCCCTCCCTGGAAAACAAGAATTGAGCAGCACCAGGGGAGGCCTTGCTGCTTGAAGACACAGAGAGGGGAGTTAGATTGGGAGACAATCACACAGGGGCTGCAAGCACCCACACATAGCCCTGGGAATGGTGAGTGCCCCCAGCCTGTGCAACCAAGGGCAGCCTGGCCGTGCGCCTGCACCCCCAACCTGGTGAGAGTGTGGTTCTGTGGAAGACCCAGACCCCAAAGCCCTGAACAAGGAAAGGGAACAGGTGTTCGCGGGTTTCTGGACCCTGTGGTGGTGAACCCGTGGGAGCATGTGCCCCTTCGGGATTCCCAACTCTTTCGCTGTGAACCCAGAAAAGACGTGGGCACTTGGGTTCCTGGAGCCCACAGCGGGGAAATTGGTGGAAGTGCGTGCCCCTTCTTGATCCCTGGAGCTTGCACCATGAATCCAGAAAAGACTTAGGTGCTTTCAGAGAACATAGAGCCCCCTGCAGTGAAATTTGGGGAAGGGCGTGACCCCTTGCCATCCCCGGAGCTTGCACCGTGAACACGGAAAAGACCCATGAGCTCTGTGGGGCCCTGGAGCTCAGGAGACCGCGGCAGTGAGCTCCGGAGAGCGTGCTTGGGAGCGGCCATACCCACACCCGGGGTCCTGCGGGAAAGCATCAGTTCAGCTCTGGGGAGAGCACACTACTAGCCCTAGGGACAGTAGGAGAGAGACTGACTGAGTTCTGACTGGGAAGAGTGAAAAGCATTCCAAATGCCCCTCAGCCTGCTGAAGCCAGCAAGACCAGAAAAACTGGTTTGGCCAGTTAGAAACCAACAAGAGGTTTTGGTTGGCGGGGGCTGTTGTTGTTTGATTATTTGATTTTATCTTGTTTTTTTTTAGGAGACTTTTTATTTTTTAATTCTTATTATTTTCATATTTCTCAATTCCTTATGTTTCTCTTCCTTTCATCCTAGTATTATTCCTTCCACTCCAAATTTATCTGTCCTGCATTCCATCTTCTGCTCCTCCCCCCTTTCCTGAGCCTGCAAGTTACTGCAAATTTGTATTATCTTTTTCTCACTTTCCTGACATTTTTTATTTTAATAGTATTTTGGTATTCTTTTTCTTTCTGTATAATCTTCTTTGCTTGGCAGGTTATATTGTTGTTTGATAGGTTCCCCTTGTTATCTCATTCATAGTGTGTTGATAATTTATTGTCCTTCATTTGTGTTCCATTAGTACACCCCTCAAGGTTCTATACTCCTTATTCTTGTTATCTAGATCTCATAGAGTCGGCCACAGGATTGTTACTTTAATATTACTGTAAATAAAACCTAGTTCATACCATTGTAAATACTACACAACATCCATCCCAGATCTCAGCCCACTTTGCAATTTCCTGAACTACATTACTGTAGGAGTTATCTCTATTATTTTACACACTACTCCTATTTACTATTCTTTATTCCCACCCTACCTCGGAATCTGACCTCCCACAGCTTCACAGCTTTCTAGATTGAACTAAAAATCCTTTCGTCCCCAATAAGAGTTTTACCTTCTTTCCATCCTTTCTAAACATGGCTAGTGGGGTGGAAGATTAAGCTTAACACTATACATAGCCAAAGGATCTCCCATCTCTTGTCTACTGGCTGCTACTGTAAATATCATAGAATATTGTCTTGCTGTCTTAAACCATTTTGCCTTATTTCTCCAACTGATCACAAAAAAAGAATAGGGGGAAGCTGTGAACACCAGGATACATGAAGGAGATTGCACCACTGAATCTCACAGGTATTCTACCAGAGAAGTTCACACCATAAACACAGGGAACCAGAACAGACAAATTTAAGAAACAGAGGCTAACAAGAAGAGTCTCAAGAACAATGAGAAGACAAAGAAACAATCCCCAAATGAAGGGAAAGGAGGAAGCCTCAGAAAGAATGCTAAATGAAATAGAGTCAACTTAACTCTCAGATATTGAGTTCAAAACAATGAATATCAGGAAGCTCAATGACTCACAATGAGCTACCAGAAACTACAGGGAAGCTACAATGATCTCACTTCAAACTATATCAACATGAAAAAGGAAATAGAAACTCTCAACATGGGCCAAGAGGAAATACAATTGAAGAATACAATTTCTGAACTGAAGAACACAGTAGAAGGAATGAAAAGCAGGACTGATGAGGCAGAAGACTAGATTAGTGAATTGGAAGGCAAAGAAGAAAACAATACCCAGAAAGAGCAAGGAAAGGAAAAGAGGCTCAGAAAAAATGAACAGGGATTAAGAGAAATGCAAGACAATAGAAACTGTAAAAATATCTGTATAAAAGGGATACCAGAAGGAGAAGAAGAAGAGCAAGGTATAGAAAACCTATTTGAAAAAGTAATGATGGAAAACTTCCCTAATTTGATGAGAGAAAAAGTCACACAAATCCAGGAAACACAGAGAGTCCCAATCAAGAGGAACCTGAAGGGGCCCACCTCAAGACACATCATAATTAAAATGGCAAAATCTCAAGAAAAAGACAGAATATTAAAGGCAGCAAGGGAAAAACAGGAAGTAACATACAAGGGAGCCCCAATAAGGCTAACAGCTGACTTCTCAATGGAAACACTCCAAGCCAGAAGAGAATGGCAAGAAATATTCCAAGTTATGAGAATCAGAGGTCTGCAACCAAGGCTACTTTACCCAGCAAGGCTCTCAATCAAGATAGAAGGCCAAATAAGAAACTTCCAAGACAAAAGAAGTCTAAAAGAATACACCTCTATGAAACCAGCTCTGCAGAGATGCTAAAGGGACTGCTTTAAGGAAAGGAAGGAAAAGAGATAGAGAGAGGAACACAGGTACGTAAATGGCAATGTATAAGCACCTATCAATAATTACCTGAAACGTAAATGGATTAAATGCTCCAATCAAAAGACATAGAATAGCTGAATGGATAAGAAAAAATGACCCACACATATGCTGCCTACAAGAGATACACCTCTGGATAAAAGACCTGCACAGGCTGAAAGTGAAGGACTGAAAACAATTTTTCCAAGCAAATGGATAGGAAAAAAAAGGTGGGGTAGAAATACTCATATCAGAGAAAATAGACTTCTAAAAAAGGGCCATAAAGAGAGACCCAGAAGGTCAATTCATAACACTCAAGAGAAGAATCCACTAAGAAGACACAAATATTGTAAATATATATGCACCCAACATAGGAGAACCCAAATACATAAAGAAAATCTTAGAAGACTTCAGAAAGATATGGACAGCAACACAATTATAGTGGGGGATTTTAACACCCCACTATCAAAAATGGACAGATCTTCCAAACAAAATATCAACAAAGTTATTGTGACATTGAACAATACCCTAGATGAAATGGACTTTACTGATATATACAGAACCTCCCATCCCAAAGGAGCTAAATGCACATTCTTTTCAAATGTACAAGGAACATTTTCAAAGACTGACCACATGATAGAACACAAAACAAGCCTCAAGAATTTCAAGAAAATTGAAATCATACCAAGCATTTTCTCAGATCACAAAGGACTGAAGCTAGAAACCAATACCAAGAAAAAAAACCCCAAAACACTCAAAATCATGGAGATTAAATAGCATGCTATTAAACAATGAATGGGTAAAGAAAGATACTAGGGAAGAAATCAAAAGGTTTCTGGAAACAAATGAAAACAAACTCACAACAACCCAAAACTTATGGGACACAGCCAAGGCAGTCCTGAGAGGGAAGTTCATACCGATACAGGCCCACCTAAAAATGTTAGAAACATTCCAAACAAACAACCTAACCCTACATCTACAAGAACTCAAGGAACAACAACAAAGACAGCTCAGAGCAAGCAGAAGGAAGGAAATAACCAAGATCAGAGCAGAATTAAATGACATAGAGACTAAAAGCACAATTCTAAGGATCAATGAATCCAGGGGCTGGTTCCTTGAAAAGATAAACAAAAACAACAAGCCTTTAAGCAGGCTCATCAAGAAAAAAAGAGGGAAGACCCAAATAAACACAATCAGAAATGAAAGAGGAGAGATTGCAACTGATACCACGGAAATACAAAGGACTGTAAGAAATTACTATGAAGAGCTGTATGCCAAGAAATTTGAAAACCTAGGTGAAATGGACAAGTTTCTAGAAAAATATAATCTCCCAAAACTCAATGAAAAAGAAGCAGAAAGCCTGAACAAACCAATAACAGCAAAAGAAATTGAAGCAGTAATCAAAAAACTCCCAACACACAAAAGCCCTGGACCAGATGGTTTCACAGGAAATATCTACAATGCATTTAAGGAAGAGCTAACCCCTGTCCTTCACAGACTATTCCAAAAAATCCAAAAAGACGGAATACTCCCATACTCTTTTTATGAGGCCAATATTATCCTAATTCCAAAACCAGAGAAAGACACAACAAAGAAAGCAAAGTTCAGGCCACTATCACTGATGAACATAGGTTCTAAAATCCTCAACAAAATACTGGCAAACCACATCCAACAATACATTTCAAATATCATACACCATGACCAAGTGGAATTCATTCCAGGGATGCAAGGATGGTACAATATTCACAAATCAGTAAATGTAATACATCACATAAACAAAAGCAAAGACAAAAACCACATGATCATATCAATAGATGCTGAAAAAGCATTTGATAAGGTACAGCACCCATTTATGATAAAAACACTCAGCAAAGTGGGAATAGAGGGAGCATTCCTCAGCATAATAAAGGCCATATAGGAGAGACCTACAGCCAACATCATACTCAATGGGCAAAAATTAAAATCTTTTCCACTAAGATCAGGAACAAGACAAGGCTATCCACTTTCACCACTTCTCTTCAATATAGTACTGGGAGTTTTAGCCACAGTGATCAGACAAGAAAAAGAAATAAAAGGCATTCAAAATTGGAAAGGAGGAAACAAAACTGTCATTGTTAGCAGATGACATGAGAGTGTATATAGAAAATCCTATAGACTCCACCAAAAAACTGCTTGACCTAATAAATGAATTTGGCAAAACAGTGGGATACTAAGTCAATATCCAGAAATCAAAGGCATTTCTGTACACTAAACATGAAACAGCAGAAGCAGAAATCAAGAAAAAAAAATCCCATTTGAAGTAGGAAAAAGAAAAATAAAATACCTAGGAATAAACCTAATCAAGGAGGTAAAAGACCTGTGTTCAGAAAACTACATAACATTGAGGAAAGAAATCAAGGAAGACACAAACAAATGGAAACATATACCATGTTCATGGATTGGAGGAATTAATATAATCAAAATGTCCATACTACCCAAAGCAATTTACACATTCAATGCAATACCTATTAAAGTACCAATTGCATCCTGCACACACATAGAACAAACACTCCAAAATTTTATATGGAACCATAAATGACTCCAAATAGCTGCTGCAACTTTGAGAAAGAAGAGTCAAGTAGGAGGGATCACAATACCTGGCACTAAACTATACTACACGCCATTGTAATTAAAACAGCCTGGTACTGGCATAAAAACAGGCACATGAACCAATGGAACAGAACAGAGAGCCCAGAAATAAACCCAAGTCTCTATGGTCAATTAATATTCAACAAAGAGGGCAGCAACATAAAATGGAGTAAAAATAGCCTCGTCAACAAATGGTGTTGGGAGAACTGGATAGCTATGTGCAAAAACAAAAACAAAAACAAAAACAAAAACAAAACCATGAAATTAGAGCACCAACTAAACCTTATAGAAAAATAAATTCAAAGTGGATAAAAGACTTAAATATAAACTGTGACACCATTAAAATCCTAGAGGAGAACGTAGGTAGGAAAATCTCAGATATTTCATGCAGCAACATTTTTACTGATATGTCCCCCAGAGCAAGGAACATAAAGGAAAAAATAAACAAATGGGACCTCATCAAAATTAAAAGCTTCTGCACAGCTAACGAAAACGGTATTAAAATAAAAAGAGAACCAACTGTATGGGAAAACATATTTGCCAATGATACCTCAGACAAGGGTTTAATCTCCAAAAGGTATAAAGAACTTACACGACTCCACTCTAAGAAGACAAGCAACCCAATTAAAAAATGGGCAAAGGACTTGAACAGACACTTCTTCAAGGAGGACATACAGAAGATCCAAAGACACATGAAACAATGTTCAATATTGCTAGCTATCAGAGAGATGTAAATTAAAAACACAATGAGATATCACTTCACACCGGTCAGAATGGCCATCATAAACAAAGCAACAAATAACAAGTGTTGGAGAGGTTGTGAAGAAAAGGAGTCCCTAGTGCACTGTTGGTGGAACTGCAGACTGGTCTAACCACTATGGAAAACAGTATGGAATTTTCTCAGAAAACTAAAAATGGATATGCCTTTTGAGCCAGCAATTTCACTGCTGGGACTATATCCTAAGAACCCTGAATCACCAATAGAAGAGAACCCTCACACCCTGTTGTTCATAGCAGCACAATTTACAATAGCTAAGTGCTGGAAGCAACCTAGATGCCCATCAGTAAATGAATGGATCCAAAACTATGATACATTTACACAATGGAATTCTATGCAGCAGAAAGAAAGAAGGAGCTCCTACCCTTTGCAACAACTTGGATGGAGCTGGAAAGCATTATGCTAAGCAAAATAAGCCAGGTTGTGAAAGACAAATACCATATGATCTCACCTTTAACAGGAACCTAATGAACAAAACAAAGAAACAAGCAAAATATAACCAAAGACACTGAAATAGAGGACAGGCTGACAGTGACCAGAGGGGAGAGAAGAGGGAATTTCAGGGGACAATGGGGAGGGTTTACAGGAATAAATTTAAAGGGCACATGGACAAAAACTAGGGGTGGGTGGTAATGGTAGGGAAGTGGGGAGGGATGGGGGGGTGGGCTGGAATGGGAGAAAAAGGGAGAAAACTGTACTTGAACAATGATTAAAACAATAAAAAAATAAATATTTTAAGTCTTGGACCCCGGATATGCTAGTAGAAAAAATATGTTTTTAATGAAAAGACAAGAATCAATTAGTAAATTCATTTACAATTCATTGGACAAATATTGTGTCTCCTCTGTATTAGGATCTGTGATGTCCTGAAGATCCAATTGCAATTAAGATAGCCTGGTCTCAGTCCTCAGGGAGGCCCCACCTGGGTGGGAAGGTCATCAATTAGACAATAGAAACAATCAAGATGATGAGTTTTGTGATCAAGTGTGAGGAGCTATGAGAACAGGTAGCTGGAGCAATAGCCTAGTCTGGGGTATAGGAGGTTCAGGTAGTTGGGAAGGGTCCCTGAGAGAACTGATTGTGTTCAATCTGAGATGTGAAGCATGAGCAGGTGTAAAGAAGGTTAGAAAATTTGGGGACATGCCAAATGACAATAAAAATATAACAATAGACTAATAGTAGTAATTCAGTCTCATGTGCATTCTATAATTTATTCCTCATGACAACTTTGAGACTCAAGTGATCGCAGGTTGGCATATGATGCTTGAGAAAACGTAGTAACTCAAGGCCACAGTGATAGAAATGATAGAACTGGAATTGATCCCAAGTGATATGCTTGTGAATGAGTTGGGAGGTGTGAGTACCATGGAGCTAGATGGATCCACCAGAAGACTCAAAGTGAACACTACTGAGGCTGTGTTTGTACACTGCACCCTGTGGGGCAATGGAGCCACCACCCGACTTTGTACATGTGTTTTACTGGAACACGGTTGCACTCATTCCCTTTCCATATTGTCTATGGCAGCTCTTGTGCTACAAGGACAAGGGTGAGTAGTCACAACAGAGACCACATGGTTCACAAAGCTGCAATATTTACTCTGTGGTCCTTTGGAGATAAGATCTGCTGACTTTGGTGCAAGTTATATAGAAGGGCAAGCTGGCCAGGGCTCCTCTGATGTCAGCAAACATTAATTTTATCAGCATAGGAATATGTAAATGACACACTGGATTTGGTCCCAGCTCTGCCACCAACCAGCTGTATGATCTGGGTCATGTTAGTCATCTCCGTGCCCCAGTTTCCTCATCCATGAAACTCATATAACACTGGTTTCTACCCCAGCAGGTTGTTGGGAGGATGACTTGAGTACGTGAAAACTGTTCAGAACAATGATTGCATGTCAGAAGCCATCTCTAAATCTTAGCTCTGCTCATCACAGTTTTATTTTCTAAATCATCCTCTTTTTTCTTTTAAACTAAGGAGAGAAGTAAGTTACACCAACTAATGCCATTCCTTCATTTCCAGTTTGCTTTCCAGAAGATTTCAAACATTAAATGTAATGAATATTATATTAATATATACTTACTAATAAATAAGATGGATTAATATTACATATCATGTTTGTTAATGTAATAGAATCATTAACATAGAATTGATAATATTTAAAATAATTAAATCTGAAAGATATATATCAACTAATTTATTTTAATAATATATTAATTTATAATTGTTAATGTTTCATTATTACAATAGTGTTAGTTTTAATATAATATGATCAACATTATATGAATATTTAATAATTAATATTTAAAACAATGAAATGTTAAGATCTTAAAAACATTTCATTCAAGGAATGCAATCATGAAACCAGGAAGATGTCTTTGGGTGATTACTGTGTTTTTCTCTGTTTATCATATTCTAGTGAAAGTAAAGTGCTACATGGGTTCTCTGCTGGCCTTGGTCATGTGGAGAAGATAAGACCAGTGTGAACTTTAATTTACCGGGCAGATGTTCCATAAAGGTGAGGCCTGGATGCTGCAGAAATGGCCACAATGACAGCCGGGACTCCATAGCCCACAAGGAACACGAACTTCTTCATGAACCTGCTCACGCTGGAGTAGTTTCCCACAGTGAGGTTGCGTGCAGTGAGGAAGAGGTGCAGACCCTCCAGCAGCATCCAGGTGAAGGAGGCCAAGTAGAGGTAGTGTAAGGCACCTGCGATGATGGCGCACAGCACCTGGGGAAGCAGTCAGAATAACCAGGTGGGATTGTCAGTGGGGGGCATGGACCTAGGACCTGTCCTATGCCATGCCATTGGGAAGACCTCTGTTATACATGAAGGAATTGTCAAAAGAGGGTGTGTCCTCTTGTTGGGTCAGTCAGTGTGAAATTGGCTACTCACCCCTCTAACCTTCCCAGAACCCAAGGACATTTTATTAAGGGGTCCGATGCAGCATGGCCACATGAATTCCACATCCCCTGGGTAGTACAAGGGTCCTTGGGGACGTCGGTACCTTAATCTCTGTTCTGTTAATGGCCATGAGGAAGAGCAGGTGGGCCAGGAAGAGGCAGATGCAGAGCTGCAGGTGGAGGGAGGTGCTGGTGTTCTGGATGGCTTTGCACAGCAGGAGGGTGAGGGCCGCCAGGAAGAGGCACAGCAGAGAGAGGCTGAGCCCCACATAGGTGATCACAGCCAGGGTGACATCCTCCTCCTGGGACCCAGCAAAGAGGAGATATCAGTCATACTTTCCTCCTGTGGGGTAATGACCCTTCCAACATTTTTACTTTTATTTTTTGGTGTAACAAGATTAGGAATGGAGGAGCCATGTAGACTTGTGATGTTTATGGGTAATGTTAGAATTTTATGAGGCTTTTAACTGATTCAGACTAAAATATTTGAGGAATAGAATAGTCCTTACTCAAGACCAACTCCTGGAGCTCATAGGGTTTATTATTTTTTTAAGGACTTTTGGGCATGACTAAGAATATAGATTACCCTGTGAGGGTCACTGAGGCACAGAAACTCCATGTTGAGTGCCATTTGCCATCCCCATTATGTGATGCTGTGTGACCAAGTCTGTACCTGGAGACTCAATGTCCAGGTATCAACTCCCCATTTTGGACTTCACTCACCTCATCTCTCCAACACTTGTTCTTGCCAGTCACTAATGTTTACACATTTATAGCTTGATCCTGAGTTTATGGAGGAAAACTACTATGTTTTTAATAGTGATAGTTTAAAATTCATATTTTCTGCCTCATTTTACAAATCATATATTTGAGAGGAGAAGGAACCTCACCCTCTCCATCAATTCCATTTCAGTGTACCTAGGGGAGGGAGGAGGAGTAGGGAGAAGGGATGAGAATGGAGAGAGGAAAGAGGAAGAGAGAAATTGGCAAATGATAAAGGAAGTGCAGATATAAATGTTTAAAGCTGGTGCATCTGATTAAAGAGCAAGATATTTGCCTTTTTAATTGTTGCAACTTCTCTGTAAGTTTGTAACTGATTCCTAATAAAATGTTAATGAATAAGTAACACATCTTCCAAATGATTCTGATGCATACTAAATTTTGAGAATCTTTGGCATAAGAAAAAAAACTCTAATTTCCCAACTATATAAAAAATACTCTCACAAATCTATGTGTAGTATAGCAACAGGCCAATAGAAAAATAGGCTAAGAATGTGAAGAAATTGTTTCCAGAAAATGAAATAAGAACCACTCTTAAACATATTTCATTTCACTCATAAGAAAAAAGATACGAAAATTTTCCTAGATTTGGAAAACTTAATAATAACCTTGTAGTGAGGTGTGAGGAATCACACGTCTTCATAATATGCTGGTGGAATTGTTCATAGGTACAATATCTATATTTTGAAATATGGAAAAATCTACCAACATACAATTATGAATTCAATCCAGTATTTGTCCTGTCTGCACATTCTTTTTTTGCATATTCAGATGTGAGAACAATGAAGTGTGTGTGAACAATTGAAACATTATTTGTATTATATGTGTACTAATGATCACAACAAAACACTTGCTATAACAGGCCTTGATGTGTAATTTATGGCACATCCACACAATGAAATGCTATGTGGCAATAAAAATAATGGCATGTCTCTTTGTATACTGGGATGGAACAACTTCTTAGATGTAATAAAAACATAAAATGCATAACACTGAAGAAAACACTATGTGAAAAGAAGAGGGACAAAGAACAAATATAATACATATATTACTTTTATATGTATAAAATATCCATGGAAACGTAGGAGAAATGAACAATTTTGGGTGTCTGCAGCAAGAAGAATTAGGTATCTAGGGTTAGGATTGAGATAGGGTTTCCTAGACCCTGGGCTACAGGCTGGTATTGGTCTGTGGCCTGTTAGGAACCCAGTTACCAGGGAAGCTCACCTGAGGTCTGCCTCCTGTCCCCACCCCTCGACCCCCACCTGTCTGTAGAAAACAGACCCCTGGTTCCAAAAAGGTTGGGGAGCAATGCTCTATAGGGTGCCTCCACCTGCCCTATAGGGATATGCTTACAGGGATGATGTCCAGGGCTGAGGCTGATGTGAAGTCTCTCCCCAGATCAACATTTTTTTTCTAAAGAAGCAGGAAATCCACTGGGGAGAGGTGAGATGAGGAGGTGAGAGAGCCTAACAGGTGGTGAGGAAAATAGGTGGGCGCTTCGGTATTTTCTGCTTCTAGGTCTCTTCAGGGAACCACTCACCTTGCTCTTCTTTCCAGAGGGTGGGGTCCAGGTGGGGAAGGAGAATCCTGCTGCAGACAAAACAGCGGTTTGTTAGGGGTGTGTGTGTGTGTGTGTGTGAGAGAGAGAGAGACAGACAGACAGACAGAGACAGACAGAGACAGAGACAGAGAGAGACAGACAGAGAGAGACAGAGAGTGAAAAAGAGAGACAGACAGAAGGTTGGGGTGGGGTCTGGAGTCAGGTTAGGCCAGGTGACTTCCCAGACTGTCATTTGGTAGCTCAGGGACCCTAGTTTAGGAATAGAAGAATATGGAATTCCCTCTACCCTGTTGGCACCTTTGCTTATTCACATTGGAGTTCTCCTAGTGTCCTGTGGGTTAATGTGGTGGCCTAGATGCTCTGTTGTCTGGAAGTGGATTGAATCAGCCTGAGTCCTACCTATCTGCCACCCCCAGGACCCTCAGCTTTCCAGAGAAGCTCCCAGCTCAGGTGGGGGACAGAGACAGAGTGGGTCTTCTTGAGAACTGAATAGAAAGGAAATGCTGCATGTCACCAGCAGGACCAATTTTGGGTTTCCATAATGGCTTTTGTCCTAGTTCCCAAAGGATGGCTGCTCACTGGCTGAGTTCTCCTTGGAATCCCATTGACACTGCCAGGGCAGCAGTCCTGCCTCCATGCCAACCCTAAGACATCTTGAGAGAGATGAGCCAAGAACCATCCCTGAGGCAGGCCCTCCACAGATGAGGCTATATGACAGGGGCAGGGAGAATGAAAAAGTTGCTGGACAAGACAGGGCCACCCAGACAGTGGTACCAAGCCCTGGTTGTTCACTGGGGCCTGATATTCAGCCAGGCCTCCCCTGTGCCTTTTTCTCATTCCTAAGAAGGCATCCTCTAGACTCGCAGGAAGTGGCAAGAATCCATGTCTGAGGAAGTCCCTCGGAGGTGAGGGCTGGCTGGCTGGAGAGGGGACCAAGTGTGATAAGTGAGGAGTGGCAAGTGCTTTTTTGCTCTGGCCTTTGGTCTCCCACCTGATGGTGCCCTCTGTTGTAGCCTGATTCAGATGGGAACCTTTTCCATTTACCTGACTCTTCAAGTTTGTGTGTGTGCGGTGGGGTCTGTGTTGTCCGGCCCAGAACTGACCCAACATTCTTCTGGGTCCTCATCATCTGTGTTGTCCTCATGTAGTGAGCTGAAATTATTGGGGTGGGGAGTCAGGGGGTCACTTACATGGGTAAGTAGATGGAGTCTGAGCAGCTGAGAAGTGGGGCCAGGGTGTCAGGGTTATTGGTCGGGGACAGGGCTGGCCAGGGGAGGTGGGCCTGCCCTTGAACTCCCCAGTCCTGTATTTCTGGACAAACTTATTGGGTCTGTCAGAGGCCAGGAGGCCTGAGAGTCTGAGAACTCACGTGTGCTGCAGTGGGGGAAGGTCCTGGTCTGGCAGTCACTGGTGATGGTGGAGAGGATGGATATTGTGCTAGAACACAAGGTACTATGAACTCCTGAAGAGTCTTGGAAGGTATCCCTCTCTTTTATGGAAATAAGATGCCAGAAAGGCAGGAGAGATCCTTTGAGCTTCCAGAAATGACTGTCCGTGGCGGATTTTGGGACTTGGATTTCAAAGAGGGCAGGTGACCAAGTAGAACAGCCCTCTTATGTTGTGGAAAGTGGGCCAAATGACCTAAAACTTCACAGATAAGGTGGAAAACACACAGAGGTTCTTACCTTGACATGTGTTCTCATTTTCATTCCAGAACATTGTTGCCCCAGAATAAAGCCTATATCCTGAGTTGCACCTGCAGTAATAGCTCCCTTCTGTGTTCTGGCACTTGGCAAATTTTCCACAGGACACCGAAGGTAGTTCACACTCATTGATGTCTGGAACAGGACAAAGGGTAGCATCCTAAAGGCATGAATTCCCGCAGTGGGGAGAACCTAGCTTCCAGCCTGATGCCACTGTGGGGGATGGACAGAACTTAGATCCTGCCTGGCATTTTGGAGGCTGGGCTGAGCTGGAGCCAGATGCTCCAGAAAGCCTGGTGACTTAGGTGGTTATATCTGCTCTCTGGTTTGAGCCTTTTGTGTCATGATGGGGCTGGAAGGATGTCTGTGTCCCCTTCTTTAGGCCTTGAGGGTTAGACAAAGGTACTGAGGCTCTAGACCATCCCTTACAGTGCAGGACTATCAGGACTACAGACATCACCTCCAGTCAGGGTGGCAGTGGCATTAAAGAATGCCCTCAATGCAGAGGTAGAGGAGGGAGTCATGCATGGCTGGGGGTTGTCTAGGGTGACATCATTCACCCTGGGGATAGAGACAGGCTGTCAGATACTGGCCCACTGGTGGCTTCCATCCTCCTTTAATCACAGTGGCCTCAGTGCACCCCACATTCCTCACCAGACACTCCCTCATCTCCCAATGTCAGGCCTTTTCAGATGCCCCAGGATGTCTCAGAGGGAGTCTTACTATCTTTACCCCTGAGGGTAGTCCCTCCTTATCAGAGCTCATCAGGGATGTGAAATGAGGAAACAGCAAAACAGCCTGAAAGTGCTCACAGGTGAGTCACTGGGTGTATTTTCTGGTGTTTTACCTTCCACTGTTCTTTGAAAGTGAGAGGAAAGATGCCCATGAGCCAGGTCCCCTTTGAGTAGCTCTGAGACCCCCAGAGCAGGGCCTGGACACCACTAGGTAACAATAATAATAACAACTCAGTAAGAACCAGAGACATAAGATGAATAAAAAATGCAGGGACAGAATGTTTGACCCTATACATTCTAATGAAGGAGCCAAAACTTCAGAGCTTGAAAACTCTCATGGTGTTATGATGGGCAGGCAACTGGTCTCCCCCAGGTCAGAGTTTCTTCTCCACATTTACAGATTTCCTTTCTAAGGCCCCAGGCCCAGGCTTGGGGTTTTAGCCCCAGGATACAAGAGGAAGTGGGAGGGATGAACACCTGAGGGATTCATGTGCATTCCCTACAGAGGCAATGGGACTTCCCTTCTTTGTTCTCAGTTGGTGACAGTGGCTGGAGATCTGTCTTCAAGTTTGACAAGATGGGGTGGAATAGAGTGGAGGAAAGCTTGGAATGAGGTTTGTGGAGGAGAAGTCATTGAGGATGGGAAATTCCTCGACCCAACAAGTGTGCTCCCAGCAAGGAGCTGGAACCCAGGCACAGGAGCAGCAGGATCTCCTCTCTGTGTGCATCCAGTCTACAAGTCTCCATGAGGACACACGGGAGAATGCACAAAGGACCTTTAGGAATACCTCTAGGGCCATGGATAGGCTGGGCACTAGTCACAGTAACACCTTTTTATCTGATGAATCAACTTTTCTCCTAATGTTAAATAACAAGATGATACTTAGAAAAACAAAGAAAATATAAAAATTGAAGACAAAAAAAATTACCCATGAGTCCACCACACAGAGTCCTGGGAAATTTTAGAGATTTTTTTCCTCATTGCTTCAAATATATTAAGAATGTTTGATTAGCACTAAATATTTACCTAAGACCATTTTGGGTATATCAATGGTATTTCCTGATGTAAAAATCATGTAATTTCCTTCTCCTCCTTCTTCATTTTTTTGTTGAGGTAAAATGTGCACATAACATAAAATTTGCTATCATGATCATTTAAAAAATCTTCATCTGAAGACATGCTTATTGATTTTAGAGAGAGGGGAGAGGAAGGAGAGAGAGAGGGGGGTAGAAATATCAATCAGTTGCTTTTCTTATGTGTAACCTAAGTATGTGCACTGACCAGGAATTGAACCTACAACATTTTGGTTTGCAGGACAACACTCCAACCAACTGAGCCACATTAGCCAGGAAGACTATTGTAACCATTTTTAATTACATAAGTTCCTTTTATGATGCTGTACTGTTGAAGAGTAAAAACCCTTTAGTTTTAGACTGACATCTGGGTTGTACCACCTTATTAATTCTGTGACTTTGGATAAACCACTCAATCTTTTGAGTCCAATTATGATCATTTTAAAAAGGATGCTATCCTGAAACCATACGACTTTTAGGAGAAAACATAGAGCTTAAGCACTTTGACATTGGTCTTGGCAAAGAATTTTTGGGGTTTGACTCCAGAAGCATAAATAGACAAGCAGAAGCACCTCAAATTAAAAACTTCTGCACAGCAACAAAACCATCAACAAAATGAAAAGGCAATGTATAATTTGGTAGAAAAATACTTGCAGATCATATATCTGATAAGCATTAACATTCAACACATATAAATAGCTCATATAACTTGATAGAAAAAATCCTAAACATCCAATATAGAAATTGGCAGAGGATCAGATATGCATTTTCCAAAGAAGGCATTCGAATGGCCAACAGGTAAATAAAAAGTTGCTCAACATCACTAATCATTAGGGAAATGCAAATTAAAACCATAATAATGTGGGAAAGAAAGGAAAGAGGAGTAAATGAACATGAATGAGGGATCCATGGATGGGGCCAAGGAGGGGTGGGATTGAGGGTGGGAGGTGGGTGTGGGTGAGTGGGGGAAAGTGGTAGTGGGAAAATGGAATCAACTGTATTTGAACTTCAATAAAAAAAGTAAAAAAATCCCACATAATCAAATATTTGTAACTTTGAACCTTTTATAATGACTGTTATAAAAAAAACACAAGAAATAGTAAGTGTTGGTGAGGATGTGGAGCAAAGAGAACCCTTGTGCACTGTTAATGTATTGTAAACTGGTACAGCCATTATGGAAAATAGTATGGAAGTGCCTCAAAAAATTAAAAATAGAACTATTATATGATCCAGTAATTCCACCTGTGGGCATTTATCTGAAGAAATCCAAAACACTAACTAAAAGGGATACCTGCATGCCCATGTTCATTGCAGCATTATTTCGAATAGGTAAGGCATGGAAACAACCTAAGTGTGCATTGATGAATGAATAGATAATAAAAATGTTGTGTATGCATACAGTAAAATGTTATTCAGTCATAACAGAGAAGGGAATCTTGTCATTTATAACAATGTGGATACATTTTTTGAGCATTATGTTAGCTGAAATAAGACAGAAAAAGCCAAATACTATATAATCTCACATGTGGGATCTAGAAAAACTAACACATAGACACATGTGGTTTGCAGAGGTAGGGAGTGAGGGGTGAGAAAAATGGTTTGGAAACAAAACCAACTAGTTCTGCCTGGATCAAGGAGCTGCCATGAGTCTGAGTGGGCAACCATGATTGTGAGTGGGCAGGATTCCTGGTGAGCCTGAGCTGGTGGGGGAGCCTGAGGTTCTAGGCCCTGGTGTTTCTCTCATCCCATTGCTTCCATTATTTCTTCCCTTTTGTTGTGCAGTGATAATAAGAGTAACAGTGACAATAACTTGCATTTGTTGACAATTTTCTCTGTACACATCTTTACCTGTTCTTTACACAGGTAAATATTAAATCTCCATGTATGTGGGGAGGGTACAATGATTATCCCCAATTTACAGACAAGCAAACTGAGGCAAAGAGAGGAGGCATACTTTCATTAATGTCAGAGAGCTAGTTGGTGGCACAGCTAGACTTTGAACCCACACCACCAAGCTCCAGTGTGTAAGCTCTCAGCACTCTACCTACTGATCATGAAAACCTGATTGTCCACTTGCTTCCTCCTTCCCTGCCCTGCCCCCTCTCTCTTATCCTTCATAAAGTGCTCCTGTGCTGCTCTCGGGGACGAGGGCTCTGAATGCCCCACAGCCTCCCCCCGCAATCTCTATATGCCCTCCACCCCCTCAAGCCTCTGTACCATCACAAGTCTCCATGGGGTTGGTGACAGTCTCTCCAGATGAAGAGCTGAATCCTGGAAAGCAGCGACAGGCAGTGGCGTTGACACATGTGGAGTGTGGAGGGCACCAGTGAGCACAGGCTGTGGGGGCAGAGGCTGTGGGGGCAGATGTTGTGAAGTCAGAGGCTGTGGTGGCAGAGGTTGTGGGGATGTGGTCAGAAGGCCCAAGCAATGGAGGGAGCCAGTTGTTAGCTGGAGGTTCAAGAGTAGAGGTTGGGGGAGAGAGACAGTGTTCATTAGAAGTGGAAGAACTCCAAAAGAATCTGAACATATAAAGAAAAAGAAATAGATTTTCACATTCTAGAGGACCATCTCTGAGCCTCACTTGCAAAACATCCTCTATTCTCCCCTTGTTGATGAGAGGACCCACACCCTGGCATGCACTCCCTGTCTTCCATCACTAACACCCCTGGCTGGGCAGACTCACCTCTAGCATTCTCATCTGCAGGTCCCAATGTCAACAGCAGCAGCACCAGGAATCCTGGGGCAGAAAGACAGAGAAGTGACAAGGAGAGGAGAGTTGAGCTCTAATTTCAAGCGTACCTTGAGAGCTTGGCCATTGCCTCCTTAGTAGGTGGCTCTGGCCTTGCATCTCATAGCTTTTTAGCAGCTTCCCCAAGGCTCCTGTGGCTTACTTGCAATGGAATACTTAGCCTTCTCTCTCCATCCCAGCCTTTTCCTTGTGGAACCTCAGGTGGCACAAATATGGGGACAGAATACAATGGTGTGCCAACTAAGATGGGGATACACACTGAGAAAAGTGTCTTTAGGCACTTTTGTTGTGTCAGGAACATACAGTGCACTCACACAAACCTAGATGGTCCAGCCTAAGCTATGTGGCACAGCCTACTGCTCTCAGGCTACAACACTTCTACACTAAATAATACAGGCAACAATGGTTAGTATTTGTGTGTCTCAACAGATGTACTCATGGAAAAGGTATGGCAAAGTATGACATAAAAGATTAAAAATATGGTACATCTGGATAGGATACTTACCATGGGTGGAGCCTGCAGGGCTGGAAGTTGCTTTGGATGAGTCAGTGAGTGAGTGGTGAGTGAATGTGTAGGCCTGGGGCATCACTGCTCACTACTGCAGACTTACAAACACTGTATGACTTTAGGCTGCACCACATTGATAAAATTTCTTTTCTTTCTTTCATAATAAATTAACCTTAGCTTACTATAACTTTTTTACTTCATTAAATCTTTCTGACTTCTCTGTAATAACACTTAGCTTAAAACACAAATTGTACAGCTGTACAAAAATATTTTCTTTCTTTATATATTTCTTATATAAACTTTTTTCTATTTAAATAATTTTTTTTTATTTTAAACTTTTTGTTAAAAACTCAGACACAAACACACACACATTAGTTTAGGCCTGCACAGGATCAGGATCATCAACATCACTGCCTCCACTTCCACATCTCCCCCCACTGGGAGGTCTTCAGGGGCAATAACACACATGGAGTTGTCCTCTCCTAGGATAACAGTGTCTTGAGGAAACCCTCCTGAAGGACCTGCCTGAGGCTCTTCTGGAGGAGGTGTCACTCTGTTCAGAAATATGTTCACAGTGGTTTGCTTGGTTTGTTTCTTTCTTTTTTTCATCACGGATTTGCTTGTAAGCAGAAACTGCACCATGAACTTTCCTCTCTATCAGTGAAAGCCTTTTGGTCTTGGGGGTTCATGTTTTCAACGACTTTGAAAAGCTTGTCGAGATCTGTAAAAACTTCTGCTAAATGCTTCTATGGAAATCTTCTTTGGGGTTCTTCTTTTTCTTCTCCTTCCACTTCCTTCTCTCTTGACTCTTCCTCAGCTCTGCATTCCTGTTCCAGTTCCCCACACCCCTCATTAGTCAGTTCTTGGAACCCACCTCTAGGAGCTCTGAGCTCCCTCATGTCCTCCTCTTCCACACCCAGCTTAAGTTGTTTGCCATCTCATTCACAGCCTTGTTGATTTCTGCAGTCTCCTCATCCTTGGTAAGTCCTTCGAAGTCATACAGGAACCTCTTGATGTCTTCTTTCAGATGCCATTCATATGCTCCTTAGTGACATCACCCCAAGACCATGCCAGGTTCTCGATGCAGTCACAGGTATTGTCACCCTTCTACAATTGCGTCTGTGTCTCCTTAGTGTCTTCCTCAGTTGCAGCAATAACTTGGGCAAAGTTCCTCTCAGGCAGCAAGGCTTAAAAGCTGCTGTAACTCCTTTATCCATTGGTTAAATTAAAGAAGTGGTGTTGGGAGACAAAATACCACATTAATATTAGGAAGAAGATCACCATTAAAAGGAATACCATATTTTACCATGTATAATGTGTACTTTTTTGTCCAAATTTATGAGGGAAAAATAAGGATGCACATGGGTACATGGGTAGTATTAATTCCATATCTATATAAATGTTTTTAATTCTTTTACTTATGTTTATGCATTAACAGTGTAACTCTAGAAAGCAATAAGGATATCCTTATGCAAAATGATACCCTGGAATGCAATAATTGCTTTTGTTTCTAAATATAAATAAATACAAAATTGAATTAAAAATTTTAAATGAAAGCCCTGGCTGGCATAGCTCAGTGGATTGAGCACGGGCTGGGAGCCAAAGTGTCCCAGGTTCAATTCCCAGCCAGGGTACATGCCTGGGTTGCAGGCCATGGCCCCCAGCAACCGCACATTGATGTTTCTCTCTCTCTCTCTCTATCTCCCTCCCTTCCCTCTCTAAAAATAAATAAATAAAATCTTTAAAAAATTTTAAGTGAAAGACATTTTCCTGGAAGTTTGGGCCAAAACATGAGTGTGCATTTTACATGGGAAAGCATTGTCCAGGAGCACTATCAACAATAAGAAAAATCTTCAATTCTATTACTATTTTAGTACTATTCTCCTAACATACTCCTCCATTTCACTGGCATAGCAATTTATGAAGGAGTCATGGAAGAGGAGCTGGGTCATCCATGACTTCTTACTGCCCTGCAGTGCCCTGGCAGTGTGTGCTGACTGCTGTGCTGGAAGGCCCTGGGGTCCTCCCACTGCCAGGTCACACAGGGCTTCCATTGGCAGCCTGCAGCATGGCCCCCAAGCATGACCTTTCTCCTGTCCTCAAACCTTGAGCCCTGACCTGGACTTGCTCTCATTATGGATAAATGTCCTTTCAGGTAACCATTTCCAGAATAGGGAGGTTTCATCTGTTTTGCATATTTGATCTGGTAGGTAATTTTCTTCCACAGTCAGTTTATCTGGAGTCTCTAAAACATTCTTCAGCTGCCTTCACATCAGCACTCAGACTCAACACTCACTTCCACATCACACAATGATTCTGGAAGCACTTAAACCACTTAGAACTGGCAGTAAATTTAATACTGTAGCCAAGCCCAGCCTTTTCTTTCAACATTGCAAACAAAGTTTTTGCTTTGTCCATGAACATCAGAGTTCTATGAGAGATACAATTTTTGTTTGGTCTTCAAACCAAGTCTTTAGAAGTTTCTTTGTGTTTGATATAGGCCCTTCTTGAATTTTTGTTAGTCTTGTTGCCTTCGATGAAGCAGATCCTTTGACAGCCTCCTATCACATTGTTCTTGCCCTTTAAGATCATAGCCATGGTGGATGGGGACATGCCTGACTGTTGAGCAAGAACCAACACTGATTTTCAACATTCCTAGTCCTTATTGACTTTTAATTTCATCTCCAGAACTGTCACTCAAGGTGACCTCTTACTGCCAGCATGAGCAGTGAATCCTCTATAACTAGGGGCCATGTTGAACAAAACAACATGGGACTGAATCAAGCACAGATCCACTGATGCAATGAGGGGACTGTGAACATGAGATGTATGAGGCTGCTGCTGGCATAACACAGCATGCTGTTTTAGAGCAAACATTTTCTTATAAATAGAAAGAGTACACTCTAGAATAATAATAAAAACTATAGATTAGTAAATATGTAACTAGAAACAGTTGTTTATTATCACTATCAGGTATCATGTACTTATATAATGGCACGTGCTATACTTTTACATGGCTTCAGTGCAGTAGGTTTGTTTACACCATCACCACAAACAGGTGAGTAATGTGTCACTCTGTGGTGTTACCACAAGCTACTATGTCACTAAGTGACAGGAACTTTTTCGCTCCATTATAATCTTATGGGACCACCATCATATGTGTGGTCATACTTAAATGTATGACAGAGACTGCTGACAGGGACACATCCTAGGAACTTTCAACTTTCCCAGTGGAGGGAATAAATCTTGAAGAAGAAAGTCGTCAGACTGGTGTGTCTTTGCCCAGACCCAGGTTCTTGTTCTTTGGCAATGGCACAGATCTGCTTCGTGAAAGCCCCACTCTACTCTCTCTTCTCCAGTGAGTAGGTGCCTTTTCTTTCCTTATTCACATGGAGGCATCACCCTGTGGGTGAATGTGTGGCCTCGATGCTGCATTGTCTAGAAGTGGCCAAAAGTGGCCTAAGTCTCAGCACCTGTCAGCCCTGTGACCCTCAGCTTACCTGGGCAGGTTCCAGGTAGGATGGGAACATTGTGGCCACCTTAGTCCTAGCCTGAGGATTTAGACAAAGGCCAAGGTGGGTCTTCCTGGAACCAAGTGCAGGAGAAATGCTGTGTTCCCAGAGCAATACCCATCTTGACTCCCAGTGATGGCCTGTGTCCTGCCTCCCCCAGGGAAGCTGATCTCTGCCTAAATTCTGGAAATCCCAGAGACTCTGGGAGGCAGAGCTCTCCCATCCATGGAACTGGACCAAAAACCACTCTTGACATAGGTCCCTCAAAGGCCTTACAAGACGGGTATGGAGAGTGACCAATGAGCCAGACAGGTGAGGGCCATTAAGACCCTGAGTGAGTGTGAGGCTGGAATGAACATGGGGGTTGACATCTGATCCTGCAGCCTTGGGATTGTAAAGGTGCTTTTCTGATCACTACAAAAATATCCTCTGGACTGGCAGGAAGTGGTGAGAATCTACATCTGAGCAAGACCAGCCTTGGGTGAGGGCTGGATGGCTTTAAGGGACAGCATGTGCTTGTGGGAAGGGGTGGCAGGCATTGCTGTCATCTCAGCCTATGGCCTCTCATCAGGGATGCAGTCCTGTGCGCCTTGCTGAAGTGAGGCATATCCTTCATCTCTGTCCCTGTGTCATCTAGGTCATCATGGGGCCTGGGTTGACTTCATGGGAGAGGGTCCAGCCTGGGGCAATGACACTTTCTCTTTCTGTTTAGCCCAGATGGGAGCATCTTCCATTCATCTTACTCTTGAGTGTATGTGGGGGGATCCATGTCACCCTGCAACCCCTGACATAACATCCTCCTGGGTCCCACTCATTTGTGTTGCTCACAGGCCCATGAGCTGCATTGTTGGGAAGTTCAGGGGAAATAACTGGAGGCTTAGCAGCAAAGAGCCAGGTCAGGGAGGCAGGAGGTATTTTCTCCAGGTGGGGCTGCTGGCCAGGGGCAAGGCATCCTGAATAAGTGGGACCCCTCACCCCCCAGCCAATCTCTCTACTCTCACATTTCTGCATGGGGTTCCTGGGTTCATCATGGTCCCTCGGTCTGAGAGGGCTCTTTGCATGACCAAGCCCATGGGGGTTCCAGTCAGGGGAGCTCTAGTTCTGACAGTCACTGATGAAGAAGAGGATGAACATTGTGTTGAAAGGCAGTGCACTGTAAGTTCTAGAACTATCTTGAATTCCACCCCCTTCTTTGTTTTACCAAAATAAGATGCATGTGGCAAGGGGGATGTTCCAAAATTGTGGAATTGGCACTCTGTGTGAGGTGTGAAGCCTTGGGGTCGGGACACTAGGCAGATGCCCAGGATGGCTCTCTGATGCCTGGGGAAAGTGGAGTGAGTGGCCCTGAACACCACAGATGGGGAAACAGAAGATGCAGTGGGCTTCTTACCTTCACATGTGTTCTCACTCTCCTTCCTGAACCCTGCCTCAGAAACAGGCCCATATCCTGGGCTACACATGCAGTAGCTCTCCTCTCTGTTCATGCACTCTGCATACATTCCACAGGACGCTGTTGAGTTTGGTACACATTCACTGATGCCTGGAACACAACAAGGTAAAGTATTACCTCCAAAAGGCACGAGTTTACACAGGGCAGAAATCCTGGCCTCAAGTGTGACAGCCATGGGGACAGAGCAGAACTAGCTTTTAGGTGGTACTCCTGGGGCTGGGCTGGTCAGAACCAGCTGCTCCAGAGCCCACTAACCTCTGCTCATCTCTGCTGTCTGGCTGCCCTGAGGGCACCTAGACTCAAACACTCTGCTGTGTCATGATGGGGTGGGGAGGAGGGCTGCATCCCCTTCGCAGGCCTTGAGGAGTACATGGAACCACTGACTCAGCTCCAAACAGCACCACTGGGGACTTAGGGGTAGGCTCTAGTCAGTATGACAATGGCATTGAAGTTCTTCTTTGATGCTGAGATAATGGGGGGAGTCATGGCTGAGGTATCTCCAGGTTGACATCATCATTCACACCTGAGGCTAGAGCCAAGTGGTTGAGTCCTTGCCCATTGATGGCTTCCATCCCACAGTGGTTCAAGTACACCCCACACTCCTCGCCAGGCACTCACTCAGCTCCTAATGTCGGACCTTTTCCAGATGCCCCAAGGTGTCTCTGGGGGTGGCATGCTACTCCTACCCCTTATCAGAACCCATTGTAGATGTGTATGAGGAAGTGGCACAAAACTGCTCACAACAGTGCTTCTGGCATCTTACCCCCCTGTTCTCTAAACACGAGAGAGACAGATGCCAATGACCCAGTTTCCCACTGAATAGCTCAGAGACCCCCAGAGCAGAGGCTGCACACTATTGGCTTAAACAACAACAGCTTAGGAAGAATCAGCAACACAAGAATAAATCAAAATGAAAGGAAGAATGTATGGTCCTGTACATTCCAATCAGGGGACCAAAGACTTCTTTTTTTAACTTTCCTTTTTTTTAGTTTAAAATATTTTTTTATTGTTCAAGTACAGTTGCCTCCATTTTCTCCCCACCCATCTCCCCTACCCCACTAATTCCCACCTCCCACCCTCAATCTTGCCCCCCTTTGGCTTTGTCTATGGGTCCTTTATACATGTTCCTTGATGACCTTTCCCCTTCTTTCCCTTGAGAACCCCCTCCCACCTCCCCTCTGGTTACTGTCAGCTTCTTGTTTATTTCAAAATCTCTGGTTCTATTTTGCTTGCTTGTTTGTTTTGTTGATTAAGTTCCACTTAAGTTGAGATCATACCAAAGACTTTTAGAGCCTGAAAGGACTCACAGTGTCATGATGAGTCAGGGTAGGCTACTGGTCTCCCCAGATCAGAGTTCTCTTCTCTGTACCTGCATGTTTCCCTTCTAAGGGCCAAGACCCAGCTGTGGGTGTCAGCATGAGCACATGAGAGGAAGCAGGTGGATAGACATCTGAGGGATTCATGTTTAGTCCCTACGTGGGTAACAGGACTTCCTCTTCTGTGTTCAGGTGGTGGCAATGGCTGGAGATCTGTCTTAAATGTTGATTGGATGGGGTGGAGTTGACTGGAGGAGAGCTGAGAATAAGGTGTATGGAATGGGAGGACACGAAGATGGGAAATTCCTCAACCTGACAGATGCCCAGGTCAAGAGCTGAATCTGGGGTTGTGGTGGAATTGACATATAATGTTTCGAGGGGTCCATGAAGCATGGGTGTTGGGACTAAGGCAGAGTGAATGGTGACCATAGTTAAAGACTCAAGGAATGGATGAAGCCAGCCACCAGCCAGGGGTCCATAGTAGAGAAGGGGAAGGAAGTGAAGAGATGGCTGCCATTGGAAGAGAAAATGGCACAAAACTCTGGGCATGGAGGGAGGAAGAAACAGCTACTCTTATCTCCAGACCATCTCTGTTCCTCACTTGCAGTAAAAGCCTCCTTTCTTTCACTGGTTCTTGAGAATCCCCCTACCCCAGCATGACTCCCCAGATTATGTCACTAATGGGATGCCTGGGAGACTCACCTCCAGAGTTCAGGGGTGCTGCTCCTGGTGTCAACAGCAGCAGTGCCAAGAGTCCTGGGGCAGAAAGACAGAGAGATGACAAAGTGGAGGACAGTCGAGTTCCAGTATCAATCCCTATCAACACAACCATTGCCCCTTTAGTATGGGTTTGGCCCTGCAGTCCACAGCTCCCAGCAGCTCCTGGAGGCCCCTGAACTTACTGGAAATGGAAGAATAGGCCTTTCTCCTCCATGTGCCAAGCCTCCCTGAGGAGTCACTAACATATACAGTCCTCACGGAATGCCAGATGTTACAGGTGAGGGGACAAAAAGCATACAGATGGCTGGTAACAGGGTCATATCTCCTAGACACTCCACTATCTCCCAGTGGAGGTGCTACATCTTAAAGGAGAAAGTCTTCAGATTGATGTGCCTTTGCCTAGACCCAGGTTCTATGTTCTCTGACAATGACAGAAATCTGCATTGAGGATTTCTCTTCCAGGATCACTTCTCCTGTTTACCACAGAGTTTCAGAATATACAAAAATAGCATAGGTATTGAAGTCATACAGCCTGAAGTTTGAGTCCTCAAAGGATGATGAGCAGGGCATTGAGCCCTGGTATTGAGAGAGGAGAACTGATGAGAGGTGAGGAGTGAGAACTAAGGTGCCTGTAGGTAGAGCCACTACCTCCTGGGTCAGTGGCCTCTCCATTACAGCACCATGGCTTCTATGCCTCCTTCCATATGAGCTCCTGGCCCCCATGTCATGCATGGGGGCCCAGCCCTTGTTTGCCCTCTGTGGTGTGAAAGCCATGACAGGTACAAAGGAATGAAATGTTCCTTGTAGGCAGTGAACAGACCACTTATTAGAGCCTGTGCCCATTTTTGTGAGCCATGAACCTCATGAAAGTCTTTTTAGGTCTGTGTGTCTTTCCAGAATTTTCCCAAAACATGCCCAGCATTAAAACAATAATAATGTTCCAAATTCAGATGATAAGAAATGTGGCTATTTTTATAAAAATCAGGAAACAAATTATAACTAATGAAGACAATATGTAAAGAACACCTAACTTACTAGGTAACATGTAAATGTTAAAGGAAATAAACACCAATGAGAATTCAGCTGATCTCACTGACACTGGTTTTTACTCTTTCACTGTTATTGCCCTTTAAATCATTCCATGACCCACACAGAGCCAATAGGCTAAAGGATGATATTTTTCTTAGTGTAGTAGAGTTTTCAGATAATTTTGTTGTTTATTCTTCTGAAAAAAAATAATGTAAGTAGTATTATAGTTAATTTTATGTTCCAATTTGGCTAGGCCATAGCACACAGATAATTGTTTAAACCCTAGTGTAGATAGATGTTGCTGTGAAGGTTTATTTTCCTTTTAGATGAGATTAACAGTTAAATCAGTAGACTGTGAAGAAAGCATATCACCCTCCAAAATCTGGGTGGGTTTCATCCAATCAGTGGTGGAGAAAAAAGATTGGCCTTTCTTGAGGAAGAGGTAATTCAGCTTCCAGACTGCCTTTGGACTTGAATTCAGCTGTGAAAGTCTTCCCTGGGCTCCCAGCCTGCCATCCTGTCCTACAGATTTAGTTAACCAATGGTTTTAAATGCATGGGGATATAATGTGAAGCATAGTGATTTAAATCCATACCCCCTCCACCTTATTGGCTGTTTCTCTGGTGAACTGCACTAATACAGGTAGTAAAATCAGAACTCTCTTTTACACCCTCACCTTCCCCTAGGAGTGACTTTCACTGACTTTTCCTTTGAGAGTTAATACAAATGAGCTAATACCCTTCATACAGTTTCTCTCTTTTGTTTTCTATAAAAACAGAGGGAAAACAAGCTAGATATGAAGAACAGGGAATATTTTCAAACTGGGTAGAGAGTTCCCAGATAGCTTTAACTCTCTACTGTTACTGTTATAATTTTACCTACCTGGCAGCAGCCTTAGACATCTGTTTCTCATGGTGCAGACACAGCCACAGAGGACGTCTGATCTTGGTCTGTGTGTGTGTTAAAAACACTCCCTGTTTTAAGTATGTGTTGTGCCCTGGAGGAGGTGGCTTAGGAAACTTCTGGTCTGGGTGTTTTCCTCCCCAAATCTGCCCAATAATTAACTTCTCAGAGACACCACTTCCTCTTTTTAAGGATTTGCTTAGTAACAAGTATTTGTACTGGAAGCCTCCTTGCCGGTGATTTTAAATGCTTTTACATAGGAAGATGTGCGACTCTGCACTCCAAGACTTCCCCAAATGAAGAATCACTTTACTTCACTTTATGCCCACATGAGGACATGAGGTCAGAGTGAACAGTATTATCTATTTATTCAACTAGTAGACTTTAAAAAAATTTTAATTGTTGTTCAAGTATGGTTTTCTGCCTTTTACCCCCATCCCAGCCCACCCCCAGTCCTCCCCACCTCCCTCCCATTTCCACCTCCCCCCTTGTTTTTGTCCATGTGTCCTTTATACTTGTTCCTGTAAACCCTTTACCTTTCCCCCTGAAATTTCCTCCCCTCTCCCCTCAGGTCACTGTCAATCTGCTCTGAAGTTCAGTGTCTTTGGTTACATTTTGCTTGTTTGTTTGTTTTGTTGATTGGGTTCCTGTGAAAGGTGATATCATATGGTATTTGTCCTTAACTTCCTGGCTTGTTTCACTTAGCATAATGCTTTCCAGCTCCACCCATGTTGTTGCAAAGGGTAGGAGCTCCTTCTTTCTTTCTGCTGCATAGAATTCCATTGTGTAAATGTATCATAGTTTTTTTTTTACTTTCTTTTTTTAAATTTTATTTTAATCATTGTTCAAGTACAGTTTTCTCCCTTTTTCTCCCATTCCAGCCCACCCACCCATCCCTCCCCACTTCCCTACCATTGCCACCCTCCCCCTCATTTTTGTCCCTGTGTCCTTTAAATTTGTTCCTGTAAACCCTTCCCATTCCCCCCTGAAATTCCCTCTTCTCTCCCCTCTGGTCACTGTCAGCCTGTCCTCTATTTCAGTGTCTTTGGTTATATTTTGCTTGTTTCTTTGTTTTGTTGTTTAGGTTCCTGTTAAAGGTGAGATCATGTGGTATTTGTCTTTCACTGCCTGGCTTATTTTGTTTAGCATAATGCTTTCCAGCTCCATCCATGCTGTTGCAAAGGGTAGGAGCTCCTTCTTTCTTTCTGCTGCATAGAATTCCATTGTGTAAATGTACCATAGTTTTTTGATCCATTCATTTACTGAAGGGCATCTAGGTTGCTTCCAACACTTGGCTATTGTAAATTGTGCTGCTATGAACATTGGGGTGATAGGTTCTTTTGGATTGGTGTTTCAGGCCTCATAGCATATAATTCTAACAGTGGAATCTCTGGGTCATTAGGCAGATCTATTTTTAGTTTTCTGAGAAAATTCCATACTGTTTTCCATAGTGGTTGTACTAGTCTGCAATCCCACCAACAGTGACCTAGGGTTCCCTTTTCTCCACAACCTCTCCAACACTTGTTGTCTGTTGCTTTGTTTGTGATGGCCATTCTGACCGGTGTGAAGTGGTATCTCATTGTGGTTTTATTTTGCATCTCTCTGATAGCTAGCGATACTGAGCATCTTATCATGTGTGTCTAGATCCTCGGCTTGTCCTCCTTGGAGAAGTGTCTGTTCAAGTCCTTTGCCCATTTTTTAATTGGGTTGCTTGTCTTCTTAGAGTGGAGTTGTGTAAGTTCTTTATATATTTTGGAGATTAAACCCTTGTCTGAGGTATCATTGGCAAATATGTTTTCCCATACAGTTGGTTCTCTTTTTATTTTAATACTCTTTTCTTTAGCTGTGCAGAAGCTTTTTATTTTGATGAGATCTCATTTGTTTATTCTTTCATTTATGTTCCTTCCTCTGGGGGACATATCAGTAAAAATGTTGCTGCATGCAATATCTGAGATTTTTCTGCCTATGTTCTCCTCTAGGATTTTAATGGTGTCATGGCTTATATTTACATCTTTTATCCACCTTGAACTTATTTTTGTGTATGGTGTAAATTGGTGCTCGAGTTTCATTTTTTTGGATGTAGTTGTCCAGTTCTCCCAACACCATTTGTTGAAGAGGCTATTTTTACTTCATTTTATGCTGCTGCCCTCTTTGTTGAATATTAATTGACTATAGAGACTTGGGCTTATTTCTGGGCTCTCTGTTCTGTTCCATTGGTCCAGGTGCCTGTTTTTATGCCAGTACCAGGCTGTTTTGATTACAGTGGTCTTGTAATACAGTTTGGTACCAGGTACTGTGATCCCTCCTACTTTGCTCTTCTTTCTCAAAATTTCAGCAGCTATTTGGGGTCATTTATTATTCTATACAAATTATTGGAGTGTTTGTTCTATGTCTGTGCAGTATGCCATTGGTACTTTAATAGATATTGCATTGAATCTATAAATTGCTCTTGGTAGTATGGACATTTTGATTATGTTAATTCTTCCAATCTATGAACATGGTATACATTTCCATTTGTTTGTGTCTTCCTTGATTTCTTTCTTCAGTGTTGTGTAATTTTCTGCATACAGGTCTTTTACCGTCTTGGTTAGGTTTATTCCTAGGTATTTTAATTTTCTTTTTGCTATATTGAATGGGTTTTTTTCTTGATTTCTGCTTCTGCTGTTTCATTGTTGGTATACAAAAATATTATTTCTTTGACTTCTGGATATTGACTTTGTATCCCGCCTTTTGCCAAATTCATTTATTAGGTTGAGCAGTTTTTTGGTGGAGTCTATAAGATTTTCTATGTACACTATTATGTCATCTGCAAACAATGACAGTTTTACTTCTCCTTTCCAATTTGGGTGCCTTTTATTACTTTTTTCTTGTCTGATCACTTTGGCTAGATTTACCAATACTATGGTGAATACAAGTGGTGAAAGCAGACCCCTTTGTCCTGTTCTTGATCTTAGGGGGGAAGCTTTTAGCTTTCACCTTTGAGTATGGTGTTGGCTGTAGGTTTCTCATATATGGTTTTTATTATGTGGAGGTGTACCCCTTCTATTTCCACTTTGCTTAAGTATTTTTTATCATAAATGGGTACTGTACCTTATTAAATGCTTTTCCCACATCTATTGATATGGTCATGTGATTTTTGTCTTTCCTTTTGTCTATGTGATGTATTACATGTATTGACTTTTGAAGATTGTACCATCCTTGCATCCCTGGGATGAATCCTACTTGGTCATGGTGTATGAACTCTTTGATGTAATGCTGGATGCCATTTGCCTATATTTTTGTTGAGGATTTTAGCATCTATATTCATCAGCGATATTTTTGAAGATCCCATACTTCTCAGAGGAATCCAACTGGCTGCTTAAATATCCCTCCAGTGTTTCAGCCCCAACCTGTGCATGCCTGGCCAGCCCTCTCACATCTCCATCACATTCCCTACCAGTCAGATTGTGCTGAAACTGATTCTTCTGTCTGTCTGAGCTTATAGCTTCTTTCTTGCCATTGCTCCATTGTTTGTTCTGGTTGTTTGCTTCTCCACAATTTTGTTGTAATTCCATGTTGGTCTTGGGAGGAGGTTAGTGTACTTTCCACTCACTCCTCCACCATCTTTGAACTCTTGTTTACATTTTTAATTACCCAGTAGGAAGATGTTGAGACTCTCAATGAAAGCTTCAAAGGCCATGAATAAGCTGTGGAAACAGGAAAGTCTTGGCTCCAGTTCAAGGAATTACATAGGTATTGTCCCAAAGAGCTGTGTAAACTGGAGAAAGAGAAATCTGGTGATGGAAGATAAGTGTGGCATGACAAAAATGAAGTTGTTAAAATTGGTGTAATTTTAAAGTTGTTAAAATCTGGCTGGTGTAGCTGAGTGGATTGAGCACGGGCTTGTGAACCAAAGGATTGCTGGTTCGATTTCCATTCAGGGCACATGCCTGGGTTGTGGGTCAGGGCCCGCCACCTGCAGTAGAGGGCACACAAGTGGCAACCACACATTGATGTTTTGCTCTCTCTCTTTCTCCTTCCCTTCCCCTCTCTATAAAAATAAATAAATAAAACCTTTTTTAGAAAAGGTGCAATAAATGCTTTAGATGGAACACTAGGAATTATAGTATGAGTAGGAGGGAAAAGGTCCCTTCAGATGTCAGAGGTAATTGGGTCCTGACTCATCAGACTTCATCACTCAGGTGTAACCTAAGGACAGTTGTGTGGGCAGGTGACTGTGTCCAGAGGGCAGACTTACCTTCCATCTCAGCATTGATGAGGCATGTTTTGATGAAGGATTTACTCTGCAGCTGACAGCTAGATTCTCCCACACCAACAAAGAGAAGTGACAGGAAAGATGAATTAGGAAGAGAGTAAAGAAGAGAGAACAAATCTACCTCCCATCTGGGTTGCCAAATGATATCTGGCCAGGGACAGGGTCCAGGTAGGTTCGCCTCAGGCCCACCAGTAGTGTGTGGTTTCTCGACTTCATGCTGGAAATGGCAGGAAACATTTCACAACATGAGACCAGGTGATTTTGAGAGTATTTCTATTAAAGTTGGGGACAGTGAAACAAAGGAAAGGCTTAGGACAGAAGAAGCAGTAGGGGGAGAGCCTAAGTAGGGCAGCTTTGGCTATCTAGAAATGTTATAGGAAAGAAGTGGGCCAAGTTGTGCTGCATGAATTCACTGAGAAGTAAAAGTCACAGTGACAGAAGTGAGTGAAGGTAGGGCTACTGTTAGTTTGTTGGGAAGTCAGAAAAGTGGGCCTTGGAGCCAGGGTCAGGTGGTAAGCCAAGGACAAGCTGCTTCTGCCTGCCACTCCCCTGATTGCCAGTCTCATGGGGACTCTTAGAGTTTAGGAGAGGGAAAACAGGGATATCAGGCATGGCATGCTTCAGCAAAAGTGTGCTGTGGGTCCTTTGTCTTGAGACTTTTTATCTTTCCTGAGCCAGTGAAAATCCTAGAGGAGGTTGCAGGTAAAGTCCTTTTTAAAAATTTTTATTTTATTGATTATGCTATTCCAGTTGTCCCATTTCCTCCTCTTATTCCCCTCCACTCTGCACACCCTTCCCACTCACATTCCCTCCCACACCTTAGTTCATGTCCATGGGTCATACATATAAGTTCTTTAGCTTCTCTGTTTCCTATACTATTCTTAACCTTTCCCTGTCTATGTTGGACCTACCATTTATGCCACTTGTTCCCTGTATGTTTTCCACCATTCTCTCTCCCAGCCCCTCTGATAACTCTCCATGTGATCTCCATTTCTGTGATTCTGTTTCTGTTCTAGCCATTTGCTTAGTTTGTTTTTGTTTTTACATTCAGTTGTTGATAGCTGTGAATTTGTTGTCATTTTACTGTTCATATTTTTTAACTTTTCCTTTTTCTTAGATAAGTCCCTTTAACATTTTATATAAAAGGGCTTGGTAATGATGAACTCCTTTATTAACTTGACCTTATCTGGGAAGCACTTTATCTGCCCTTTCATTCTAAATGAAAGCTTTGCTGGATAGAGTAATCTTGGATGTAGGTCCTTGCTTTTCTTGACTTGGAATACTTCTTTCCAGTCCCTTCTTGCCTGCAAAGTTCCTTTTGAGAAATCAGCTGGTAGTCTTATGGGAACTCCTTTGTAGGTAACTGTTTTTCTCTTTTAGGATTCTCTCCTTCTCTTTAATCTTGGGTAATGTCATTATGATGTGCCTTGGTGTGTGCTTCCTTGTGTTCAACTTCTTTGGGACTCCCTGAGCTTCCTGGACTTCCTGGAAGTCTATTTCCTTTGCTAGATTGGGGAAGTTCTCCTTCATTATTTTTTCAAATAAGTTTCGATTTCTTCTGCTCCTCTTCTTCTGGCACCCCTATGATTAGGATGTTGGAACATTTAAAGTTGTCCTGAAGGTTCCCAAGCCTCTCCTCATTTTTTTTTGAATTCTTGTTTCTTCATTCTGTTCTGTTTGAAAGTTTATTTCTTCCTTTTTCTCCAAACTGTTGATTGGAGTCCCGGTTGCCTTCTTGTCACTATTGGTTCCCTGTATATTTTCCTTTATTTCACTTTTCATAGTCATCACTTTTTCCTCTATTTTGTGACCATACTCAACCATTTCTGTGAGCATCCTGATTACCAGTGTTTTGATCTGTGCATCTGATAGGTTGGCTATCTCCTCATCACTTAGCTGTGATTTTGTGGAGCTTTTATCTGTTCTTTCATTTGGGCCATATTTTTTTGTCTCATTGGAGTACCTGTTACATAGCTAGGGGTGGAGCCTTAGTTATTCACCAGGATGGGGCAACCCAGGTTACTGCGTGGTGGTACTATATTTGGGGGAGGGGTCAGAGAGGAAAAAATGTGCTTGCTGTGTTCTTTGTTGCCTTTGTCACTTCCTCTGCTACCCACAAGCAAATTGCCCCCCCACCCCCTTCTGATTCCCAGGTGGGTGGGGTTTTGTACATTCTAGGATCCAGTGGTCTCTCCATGCACTCTCATGTGAGGATGGGAGTTTCTCCCACTGGCATGTCAACACCCACAGTTTTTTCCAGTAAGAGGTTCTGAGGATTTATTTCCCTGCATTGGAACCCTGGTTGCATGGTCTGTCTCACTTCCCAGTTTTCCTCCTGTTTTATCCTCACATGAATGTGGTACTGCCTGCTCTGCCAGCCACTCCCTCTCCCGGGTCTGCCCATCGCCACGTAGCCCATGCTACGCAGTCCACCAGCAGTCCACCAGCTGCTGCCTTGTGTGCATCCTTTCAGCCCTGGCTGCCTGTCTCTGCCCCTTCTACTGGTCTGGATGAATGTTTCTTCTTTAACTCCTTGGTTGTTGTACTCCCATACAGTTCAACTTTCTGTCAATTCTGGATGTTTTTTGTTTTTAAATTTGTTGTTGTCTTTCTTTTGGTTGTGTGAGGAGGCACAGTGTGTCTAGCTGTTTCTCATGTTGGCTGGAAGTCAGGTGAGGTTCTTAACAGAATATTTATTAGCTTTCCAGGTATGTCCTTCAATATGTTGATTCATCAAAATGTGTGTATAGAGGGGTTGGGGTTACTTTCTAATAGTTATTAGTTTTATTTTCTAATTAGTTTTATTTTCAAAGGAGTTCACTGAAGAGGGACCAGGACTGAGGCTGGTGTGCCAGGGATGGTCTGGAGTGTGCAAAGCATTTGCTTCTAAGTGTCCTTGGTTAGTGGAGATAAAAACTTTATGATTTACTAGCTGGTTGTAAGTTGCTCAAATTGTTTGTCCTTGTTTACTTTCATTTTGTCTCAGTTTCTCTTATTCCACTTATGAAGGAATTTCCCTAGCTGTGTACTGCCACATGTTAACACTTCCCTGACCCTCCATCTCTCTGTCCAGTGCTATGTATCTTGCTGGTTGTGTTGGAAGATCAACCCCAGAACACCAGAGGTGAGTCTGCTGGGAGTAACTCAGTCCATAGCCAGAGTTCCAACCCCCACCTGCACTGCTCAGCACAGGCAGGAGAAAGGCCTGTTGCAGGGGAAGCTCAGGGTTGCCTCTGCCAACACTCCTCCCCAGCCCCTGTCTCAGCCCTCATCTTGTGACCATTGTGTCCTCCCCCAGAGCCTTTGCCTCTATTGCCTGTGTTTGCTGGTACCCGCCTCACTCCTTGTGTGTCAATGCCACCCCTTTTGCTGTCTTATGGGATTCATCTCTTCCTTTGTGGAGATTATCACCAATCCGTTAGAGACCTGTGATGGTATTCAGGCTTTGGGGGTGGAGGGCCCCGATGGAGACATGAATGGTGGTTTGGGGCCTCAGCCTTTATCTTCAAACTGTCATCAAGGACAGAAAAAAGAGAAAGGAAAGGATACAAATGTGAAAAATGAGAAGTGAATAAATGTGGCTTCCTAAAGAGAGAGGAGCTAGGTCTCTACAAGTCTGGAATCTGTGCCTAGTTTACCCTTCCAGGACTGAAGAAGGGGATGCAGAGCTTCCTCCTTTCTGGGAGGAACAGGTGAACAGGGAAGGGGCTTCAGGCATCTGTAGGGGCAGATGGGGCCAGCAGTGGTCAGGCAAAAGCCAGAAGTTGCCCAGAGAGAGGGGGTTAGTGCAGAATTCAGAGACGGGAGGAGGAGGTTTGGTCCAGGATCCTGGAGGACTCTGAGCAAGGTCCACAGGCCCACCTGGCTGAAGAGAGAAGAGCCTGAATCGATGGTCCCAGCCCCCTCCCTTCAGCCCTTCATGCAGAAGGGAGATGGCAGAGCCACCTGGTGGGAGGGAAGGGGGCACCTGCACCCACACCTGCCTGGAGCCCAGTGGGATAGCTTCTTCCACCTCACTGCTGGTCCACAGGGGTCTCTGTGGGTGGATGTTATGCCCCAAATATGTAGGCTGGCCAGAGGGCAGAGGAAATTGGAAAAACTTCCCCATCTCCAGGTGAACACTGTGTGTGTTTGAGGGGTGGAGAGTGAACTGATCTTTAGCCCCCATTTGCCTGTTTGGCTGAACACCCTTGTGCAGTGACACCCTGCACAACTGCCCCTGGTGGCCGTGGATCGCGCTTGGTGTGCCTGGACTGAGTCAAGCCCTGCAGCACAGGTGGTGGTTGTGGGGAGTGAGGAGATGTGCTGCTGTGTGAGAAAGGGGCCAGGGCTGAGAGCAAGGCCTGGAGCTGCTGGGCAGAGACACGGTTGAACAAGAGTGAGGGGGACTTCAAGGGAGAGAGCAGCCTGCTGGTTTGGATCAGGACCTGCCGTCTGACCACACAGCTTTGTGACAGGCTCAGCTGGGCCGTCTGCCCACCTAGGCATTCCCTCCTTTGCCCACCCGAGGGCCTGTCTACTCATGTCATGGCCCACGAGGCCTACTTTGAGCAGGACCCAGGCCACTTCCTCGGCCGCTCGCTCCACTTTCTCCGAGCATCAATGGGCCATCCCAGGCACCTACCTGGTCTCCCAGCCTCTGTGAACCCTGGGGCTCAGAACCCTGTACAGAGCCCATTTCCAGAAGTTTGGAATGTCTGTGAAGGTTCAGAGTTCAGACCCCACACACACTCCAAAGACCACAGTGACACCCACAGGATCCCAGCAGAATGAATGCTGACAGGTGTCCTGCTGTCTTGGCATCAGTTCTTTGGAGGCTAAATGGGAGAAGGCCTGAGGGGGTCCTGAGGAAGGAGCCAGGGTATCCAGGGGAAGGCTCCTGGGGAACCCAAGCAGCAGCTAATCATTAACTGAGATGAAGGTATTTCAATACCTGACATGTGTACATCTGTGCGGGGCTCACCTGCTACAGGTCAGGCCTCTGCACACTTCCCATAGACCCTGAGTCCACCACACAGGGACCTGCAGTCACTAGGTGTCTTCACCTCCAGCCAAAGGGTAGGGATCGGGAGACTCACCAGAGGAAGGGGCAGGACGAGGAGAGGAGAGGGAAACCTGATCTGGCTGGGACAGGCAGGGCCTGACCCCCTCTTCATGTCCCCACATGCGAAAGAGTACACCTCCAGGGAGCATTAGTGTGACAACTGCACCTTCTACATGAACACTCTTGGCTCATATGTTTGCCACTGCCTCCCAGGCAGGGTGCCCAAACCTGGATTTCCACATAAACAATGGACTCCCCAGTGTGAAGGTAGCTGGCCTGACCCTAGACCCCACCTCAAATACACACAGACACTCTCACTTAAGGAGCCTCTGTTCTGTCCCCTGCAGAGATCTCCTTCCCCACCTGGGCCCTTACCCCCAGAATCAAGAGCCAGGTGAGCAACTCCAGCAGGGACTGTTTCCCCCAATCCCATGCTGCTCCGCCACCACAGGTGAGGTTCTCTGACCGCTCGTCTCCTCTCTCCCAGAGTCTCTCCTGCTTCTGTGAAATAGTCCAGGATCTGGGCAGAGACTTCAGGCCTGCTTCAGCCAAGGACACCATCAAGGTAAGGGCTGGAACTGGAGGGGACCCCAGGACAGTGAGGGGCTGGCTGGGGATGCTTCCAGGTGAGTGGAGGTAGCCCAAGCAAGGGCTTCTGATCAGAGAAACATGTGTGGCTGTGTGCACAGCATATACATCCCATCGATATCCCCATCACACAAACACAGATGTACACATACTCGGTGGTTCCTGGGTCCCCCAATGGCTGGAACAGGGCTTTTGCACGCACACTCACACTCATGAGGGATCTAATGGCTACAGAATGGAGCAAGGGAGAATTTTGCCTCCAGAGCTGAGCCACAAAGGTTCCAACTGTCCCCTTCCCCCACACCTTTCTGCTGTGACCTCAGGCAAATGACTCCCCCTGTGTGGGGCTCAGTCTCCTACTTCATGCAGCCAGTTTGAAGGGTTAAGTGAACTAAGAGAGAACTCAGAGATGCATGCCCGGCATATAGTTAGCATTAGACGTAAGTTTTAGCATATTCGTATAGACTGGCAGAAATATATGAGCCCCTTATGTCAGTTTAAATTTTCCAGTAGCCTTATTTTTTTTAAAGGTACAATAAACAGCTGAAATTAATGTGAAGGTTGCATTAACTCAATATATCCAAAATATTACCACTTAAACGTGGCACCACACGTGGTTCATGGTGACCGTCCTAGACAGCGCAGACTGAGAAAAAGTCCCTGGTAGAACATCAGGGACTGATCAATGTTAAGAGCTATTGTTTCAGGTGCTCACAGGCATCCACTCATCCCCCTACTTGTCTTCTGGCTACTGCCGTGTCTCGATGATTCCCCCGTGCCTGTCCCCCAGGCACCCTGGGTGGTTCCCTGGTGTGTCCCCTCATAAGGGAGTGAGATCAGGTTTTGGGAGGTTCCTGTGGTGCAGTGACCCAGCAGCTGTCACCCTTCCCCTCCAGAATGTCATCAAGGCATTGGATGAGCTACTGGAAGTCCCTGGGGACCTGGAGGTCCTCACCCTGCCTGCCCAGCAGGTGGCCACCAACCTGCTGTTATACCTGGAAGAAGTCCTGAGGACTCTGGCCAAGACCATACCTGAACTCTCCTTCAACTACCATTTCCCTTGGGACACAGGTGAGGTATCTTCCTGCCTCATATCAGCCCTGGGACCTACCCTGCAACTGGAGCCCCCAGTCACTGCCTCTCGCCCCTCAGAGCTGTCCCTGGTGATCCAGGAGCAAGGGAATAGAACCATCACCCTGGGCCAGAGCCACGCACGGATGCAGCTGAAGTGGGCTGAGGCAGTTGGCATTGGGGAGCCGGGTAACAGCGGGGAACCAGAGGGGGCACCAGGGAGAGGGAAGAAGAGCTGGGTGTGGCTAGGGGTGAGGTCCCAAATATGTAACAATTGAAAATGCCTAATGTATAGTCTTAGGAGGGAGGAGGGAGGGCAGGAGAGGACAGCCAGCCTGTCTGTCCCCCAGGCCCCACCCTGGCAGGCTTATTCTCCAGCCGCAACATGCAGAAATTGCTGGCCAATGCTTCACTGGAGCTGGATCCTGAGAAGAAAGCCCAGCTGGAAAACACACATGGAGGTCCTGGTGGTGGTGGTCAGCCCAGGCTCCTCTCTGTTGTCAACACAGTCTTTCTGAGCAACAAGAACACAGAGAAACTAGGCTCCCCTGTCAACTTCTCCTTCTCCCACCCTGTGAGTCTTTGGGTGGGTAGAAGGGATCAGCCCCACTCTTCACCCCATAGACAATGTCATAGAGGCCCCTCTGCAGTCTCTATTTCCCCACCTCCACCCATTCTGCTGCTTCCTTCATGTACCCCATGGCCTTTGCACTTACTGTGCTCTCTGCCTGGGACAGCTTTCCCTCACATGACTCAGTTCTTTCCCTGTTTCTGGTCTTTGTTCTAATGCCACCTTCTCTTTTAGGCCCTCCATGACCTTTTTATTTAAAATTACAACCTGTAATCAATCATACCCCACCTTTCTCCATTCCTGCTTCTTTCTTTTTTTAAAAAAATAGCTCCAATCACCTTTTACAACACTGTCTAGTTTACTTATCTATTAGGTTTACTATGTACTGCCTGTCTCCCCTTGAGCACATCAGCCCCAGAAGGGCAGGGACTTAGTCTGCTCTGGTCTGTGCTGTGCCCCTGGCTGGCACACACAGTAGGTGCTCGGTAAATACTTGTCAATTGCAATCAGCCCTTTCTCAGAACCAGCCCAAGCTCAGAACCCGAGAGTGAGCTCTAGGCTAACATCTCTGACCACCCCCACCTGCCCCACAGGAGGAGAAGCCCCAGTCACAGCAGGAACTAATTTGTGCCTTCTGGAAGGGCGACAATGATAGTGGCAGGTACTGGGCCCCCACAGGCTGCTGGAAGGTGGGCAGCAGGAATGGCAGCACCACCTGCCAATTCAGACACCTGAGCAGTTTTGCTGTCCTCATGGCCCACTATGATGTGGAGGTGAGCAGTCCCAGGGCCCCCCTCAATGCCTACAGATGAGGCCAGCTTAGCTGAGACAAGCAGCTGGTTCTTGATGGTGTGGCCCAACTGGTTCTGGATGGTTGCACAGCCCAGGTGGGCTCATGCTGCATCCACCCATCCAGTCCCCTCCTTGGGGCCCACAGACCACCTCCCCATGACCCAGCAACTGAACATTGTGCCCTGATGCCAGAGGCCCTGTTCCAGCTAGTGCCCCATTGACCACCCACCCCTGAGCATGCTCACTGGCCAGGAGCAGGTCCTGACAGAGCCGAGCAAGAGCCTGCCCCATGAGCCATCGACCTTCAGCACAGCTGCAGGAACAGGGAAGTAATGTGGTCTGCCCTCAGCTGGGCCCTGCCTGCTTCTCCCTGTTCCGGGGCCAATCATACCACACTGGGTGGGTATGCTTGCTTCTCTGTGGTACTCTCAAGAACATATTAGGTTAAATTTAAAAAGCAAATGAAACAAACTGTCAATACTACTTTAAACATTTTACGTCCATTGTCTTCATCATTTTCACATTTCTGTTTTTCTCTCCCTGCCTTTCTTTCTGTCACTATAATTAATAGTTTTTATTCTCTTTGTGGATTTAAGATGATTTGAAAAAATAGACACAATTTTTTAATCTTTAAAAACAAAGGCATGCCCCTGGCTGGTGTAGCTTAGTGGATTGAGCGCGGGCTGTGAAGCAAAGTGTCGCAGGTTCGATTCCCAGTCAGGGCACATGCCTGGGTTGCAGGCCCTGGCCCCCAGCAACCGCACATTGATGTTTCTCTCTCTCTCTTTCTCCTTCCTTTCCCTCTCTAAAAATAAATAAATAAAATCTTAAAAAAAAACCAAAGGCATCAGAGCATAGTACTTTCCCTTCTTTAACCAAGGACCTCACTGTAAGGAAGAGGTGTTACAGGGGTGAGGTGAGTGAGTCTGTGGTGGGGAGTTGATCCCTGGACATAGAGTCTCCAGGTGTAGACTCCATCACACAGCAACCTGAAGTTGTGCACCCCTGTGGCCCTCACACGGTAACCTACAGCTTAGTCATGCCCCGTGCTTCGATTATCATTGTATACAATTTAGCCTTCCTCTTTATCCAAATTGTATAAGATATTCCAATTTTACATAAAGTAAAGTAGAGATGATTTAAATAATCTGAAAAATAGATTGTATCATAATTGAGATTTACATGGTGATTACTCTGTGCCAGAAATTTTTCTAGCTGTTTTTATTTGGTCAACACTATTCATCCTCACCCAGCACTGTAAAGTAGATGCTGTGATTTGATCCATTTTACAGATAAGTAAATCAAGGCAAAAATAGTTTAAGTAAATGCCCAAAGGTATTTCAGCTAGTAAGTAGCAGAGCTGGGATTCAATCCAGAAGTCAAGCTCCAGAGCTTCACTTTCTTATTTTCAGCTTTAAATACTGGGTTTCATGGTTCTACTTACTTTTGAAATATATTTCAAGTACCATAAAATTTACTCTTTTAAAGAGTACAGATCAGTGGTTTTGAGAATAATCGCAGAGTAGTGCAACAGATGCCACAATCAAATTTCACATTTTCAACTTCCCCAAAAGAAACCTCGCTCCAACCCCTGACAACCAGTAATCTACATGGATCTGCCTATCCCAGATATTTCCCATAAATGAAATCATACATTTCTTCTTTTGTGATGGGATTCTTTCACTTAGCATGGTATGTTCAATGTTCATCATGTTGTAGCAAGTATCGTGAGGTTGTTCTTTGTTGTTGTTGTTGTTGTTGTTGTTGCTGGTGTTATTTGTAAATAATATCCCATTACATAGATATACCACCTAGTCTTATCCATCCCTCAATTGATAAACATTTGGATTGTTTCCATTTGTAACTACTATGAAAGGTGCCACTATAAACATACACATACAAGTTTAAAGTATTTTTTAAATTAAATTTATTGTAGTGACATTGGTTAGTAGTATTATATGTGTTTCAAGTGTACAATTCTCTGATATACCAACTGTATATTGTATTGTGTGTTTACCACCCAAAATCTAAACTCCTTCCATCACCCTATATCTGACCACCTTTACCCTCACTCCCTCTTGCCATCCCCCTTTCTGGTCACTACCATTCTGTTGTCTGTGTCTGTGAATTATTATTTGTTTGTTTGCCTTGTTTGTTCATTTGTTGCTTTCAGTTTCATATCCCACATATGAGTGAAATCATTCTTGACTTTTCTGTCTGAATTATTTTGCTTAGCATGATTTCTCTAGATCCACCTATGTTGTTGCAAATACAGTACTTTGTCTTTTTTGAGGTTGAGTAGTGTTCCATTGTATGTAAGTACCACATCTTTATTCAATCATCTATCAAGGGACACTTCAGTTGTTTCTACGTCTTGTCCACCATGAGTAATGCTGCAGTGAACATAGGGATGCATATATCTTTGTGAATAAATGTTTTCAGGGAGCTACCCAAAGGTAAGCCACTAAGTGGGAGAAGGTATTTGCAAGTAAAATCTGGGATGAGGAGTTAATATCCAAAATAAGGCACTCATACAACTCAACAACAAGAAAAAACAAACAAATCAAGTAAAAATGGGCAGAGGATCTGAACAGATACTTCTCCCAAGATATATGATTTGTCAACAAATATATGAAAAGATGCTCGACTTCACTAGCTGTTAGGGAAATGCTTCCATTTGTCTCTTGCTTGCATTATTCTCAGTGTATATTTCACCATCCTAAATGTCTTGCCTTACTCTATATATGGGTGGGAAACAATAGGTTAACAGTTGTTTAAATGTAGAGTAATACAATAATTAGTAAATAACATTACAAGAACGAACTCTGTGTTTCACGTACACACAACTGTAAACCTCCTCTTCCCCACCCCTGTGCATTACCCTAGTGTTGGATCAAGAGTGAATTCTGACTCCGTGTATCAGTAAAACCTTGAGCAATAGACTCAAGCCCTTTGTGCTTCTGGTACCAACCTGTAATCATGTAAGAACTTCTGTTGTGCATTGTTGTTAAAATCACATGAAATAACTCAGTGACAATACAACTCAATTAAAAAAGGGTCAGTATGTTTGAATAGACATTTCTAACAAGATATGTCAATGAGCAGTCAGGGCATGACCAGATGCTCAACTTCATTAGTCATTAGGAAAACAAAACTCGAAAACATCAAAAATGAGGTCACTTCATAGCAATTAGGTAAAATGGTTAAAATAAAAGCATAGAGAATAAAAAATGTTTACAAGGATGTAGAAAAATTTGAACCCTCATGAATTCCTGGTTGGGATGTAAAATAGTGCAGTTACTTTGGAAAATGGTTTGATAGTTTCTTAGAGGGTGAACACACATAGCTATCGCTTGACTGAGCAATTCTACTTCTATGTATATACCCAAAGCAAATGGAAACACATGTCCACAAAATATCTTGTACATGAATGCTCACAGCACCATTATTCAAAATGGCCAGAAATTGGAAACACAATAAATGTCCATCAATTGATGAATGGATAAAAGAATGGCATATCTCTACAATAAAATATTATTTAGCCATTAAAAAGGAATTAAAAATATTATTCAGACATAAAAACTTGCAGCAACATGGTGAACCTTGATTGAAAAACATTAGGCTAGGTGACAGAATCCAGTCATAAAAGACCAAATATTGTATTAATACATTTATGTCTGGTTCAGGCATGTCCAAGGAGACAGACAGTAGAGCACTGGTACCATGGGACTGTGGTGGGTGGTGAGGTGCATGGAAGCAGGGATGAGGACTGACTGCTAATGTGAATTTTCTGAGGAGTTGAAAACATTTTAAAGTGAGATTGTGATGATCACACAACTCTGTGAATATTTCAAAGGTCACTGAATGGTACAGTGTAAATGGGTAAAATTTATGGTATGTGAAATACATCTCAAAAAAGCCATAATTCAAAATGTTCAGTAGATAGTTTTTGCAGCAGATGAAAATAAGTATATTGACTAGGGCAGGAACAGCTCTTAAAGTCATGTGAGATTCACAGGACTCTCAAAAACTGTTAACACATATACAGACTTCTCCTGTGTGTCAACACAATCTCAGTAACACCCACTCATTGCTCCAATCTCAGCTCAGATAATATTTCCTTGTGGAATCTTCCCAGAACATGTTAATTTCCTAGACGCAAAACTAACCGTGACATCCAATGTAACATTCTCTTAGCCACCCATTTTGTTTTGTAGTTGCATTGTGTCTGTGTGTCTCCTGCCTGATGTGAGATGTGTGGGATTTAAGACCATGTTTGCTTTCTTCATGACTGAATGTTCAGAGCCAAACACAGAGCCTATCACAGAAGGGACACTCAGTATTTGTTGATAAATGAATTAATGAGTGGATTTACATAATTGTTGTGTATTTCTAAGGACCGATACATTTATAATTCTCCCTCTTTTTTAGCTGCTGGCTAAGCACAACAAATGGATTTCTGTGGAGCTTCTTTGCACCTGTCTGCACCATCATCTCTGTGATGATGACATCAGAGCATCCTTAACGATCAGCTGAGGGTCATTAGAAGAGCAGAATTATAAGTGTGTGTGGGGGGAATGACAGGGGCAGGACTTTTCCTGTGTTCTTGGGGTTGCTTTGGTTTTCTAAAACTGCTCCTGAAACTACAAACTCTGACACTGTTACTAAGTATGAAAACTACTAAAGTGGAAATGCTATTGGACAGGCTAGGCTAGAGATAACAAATTAAAATTTTATTCACTCACCCTCTGTGTTCCTTAAGGTCAATCTAACTTTCTTTCTGATGACACTCTGGATTTTCTAAAGCAAACTCTGTTACCTCAACACTGATGTGTCCACCCTGCAGAATACCAAGTAAGCTGGAGAAGAGGGTGACATCCCTGCAGTCACGTGTGGTCTTAAGAGCAAATACATGTGTTTCAGCAGCCCCTGATGTCCCTTCTCAGGGTGTGCCAGGGGAACTCAGGGTAAAGAGATGCAGTGATCTTTGTGTGGCAGCAGGCTGGGATTCAGTGGTGTGCAGCTGGCTCCCTGGCCACAATGCTCCACCTCTAACCCCAACTTGTACCTCCCTCAGCAGTAGGAAGAACTTATGTTGGCTCATGAAACTTCATTGGACTTTTGTCAGCAGTCCTTTGACAAAAGTACAAAGAACCTGTATGCACCCAGCCTACCCTTTCATACCACCCTGTGTTCAGGCTCCTTCTCAGCCCTCTCCATTTCTGTCAGGAAAAAATTCTATTCTAGGAAGCATGGGCACTGCTTTGTTTCAGGAACCCCTGTGCAAATACAATGCTCTTTCTTGTATGTTCCTATCAGTATCCTTTCTAATTTTTGCATGTCATTACTTGGTTGTGTCAATAATTTGAAGAGCCTGAGAGGTTTGTGAAAATAGAAATCCTTCCTCTATTCCTTTCACTGCCCAGGCCCCAGCACAGAGCCAGCCTAATGCACAGTGCAGCCTCAGACATGTTGGTTTAATAAAAACGAGGATCTCCAAGGAGCATCATACATTTCTGAACTTACATTAGGAAGTGTCATAACCCTACTTAATACAGTCAAAATGTCACCTTGTATCAGAGTGGTGTTTCTATTGTCGAGAATCATTGACAGTAAAGGTCAGAGCTGAACACAACTCAGTCTGTGAACTCATCACCAACAGGGGAAAGCAGGAAGGAGCATGCATGGGGTGGAGATGAGAATGGTCTTGATTCTGTTGTTCTGGGTTCTAATAGGGTTGCTTTCCACCATGGGCATCCTTTCTCTTCCTTCCCAGGATGCTTATGTTTAACGTTTTGGCTCAGCTCTTCACCTTGGGCTGCATGTGGTGTCTGGGAGGCCTGCAGCTGGGCCCAGCTTCCCAAGCCATGGCCTATCTCTGCACCATTATCAACAGCCTGCAGGGTGTCTTCATCTTCCTGGTGTACTGTCTCCTCAACCAGCAGATACCACAGTCCAACACCCACCTAGGGCCCTTTCTGTTTCAGTCCTCTCAGTGAGCTGACTCAGAGCATGCTTTGCCTCTGCAGGTCTGGGAACAATACAGGAAATGGTTGAGAGGGATCAGGAAAATCAAAACAGACTCTGAGAAGTACATCCTCTCCAGCAGGGCCACACCTGAAGCTTACAAGCCCAGCATGGTAAGGTACCACATTGCTCCCAGAGCCTGTTGCTAACTGATCCACTTGAGTAGTTTATGGCCCTCACACTGGACAACCTGGGAATACACTAGGGGATGTCCTAGCATGACTCCCATGGGTTTTACTCTTTGACTCCTTAACCATTAGCAATGATCTCAGTTGAAAAACATGTATTTTGCTCTTACTCCTTAGCAACTGTGTTCATCTTGACTTTTCCATAACAGCACTCTTACTGAATGCCTACCACATGCCATGCATGGTTAACTAAATGACTAAGAATCAATGACCTGAAGCAGGGATGCATATTCCACTCATAAAGCCACATTATCTTATCCTTCATCCACCTGTATCTCATAGTCATTCAGCACCACCCAAACAAAAAGGCAAAGATGGGGAAAATGATGTACATACATATTTAAGAATTAAACAGAAATCAGTGTTAGTTGGCATTTCAGACTTTCTTAGTAAGATTGCCTGATATTTTCAGCACCCTCCACCCACTGCAAAACCAGGAAAGACAAGTTGTAGTGCATGGGAAAATTCCTGGCAGTGATTACTAAGAATCACCACTTGTATAGATTTAAAAGCTCTTTTTTAATTAAAAAATTTTTTAGACATAGAAAGTTCTTTTACTTAAGTTTTTCACCTCTTCTTCCCTCTTCCATTAAACATGTTGAGTCTTCTTTTCCATTTAAAGGAGCCAACTGTGCTCCTAGGAAGTGTTGCATTTCTCTCACCTGTTCACCATCCTTCACACAAGCACTGGTTTCACAGTTGAATCTTTATTTCCTTTCCCTCTCTCAGCAAATATTCTTACCACCTATTTCACAGAGAATATCCAAGTTATCATGATGACTGTGAACTGCATGCTCTCAACCACACCATGCAGACATTAGTGTGCATCTTCCCCACACTGCCATTGACTCTATTTTTCTTCTTTCTGAAGACAGCACTTCCACCTGCATGTTGAATCCCATCATTCATGCCTTATCAATTATCCTTACATTATTTTTACACATTCCCTTTCTCTTTCTCTTCCCTCTTTCCCTTTCTCCATACATCTTCCCATTCATCCTTCCTTCACCTTCTCAAAAGTTTATTCCCCTTGTCATAGAAACATGATTGGTTCTTTTCTATCTTACAATCATGTACCACTTGGCCTGCCATTTCCTTGTAGCTACTTATGAGCCAAGAGTTGACTCTTCTCTGTCTCTATTTTCTTGCTTTAAATTTACTCTCTTAACCCATGTGAATATGGCTTCTCTCCCCCATCATTCCACCAAAGCAAATATCTCTTAGGTTACAATGATCTTCATGTCCCTAAAGGGTCTCCCAGAAACTCCTCACACTATTTATCACTGCTTTCTCATGAAACACTCCATCCTTATCCTGTCTCAATTTGACTTCCATGCTCCTCCTTCATGTCTTTCTTATTTTCTTTTTTTCTTCATCCTTTTACCCAATGGATTGGTTCCAGAGCAACTTCAATTCTCATTAAATTATTTCTTCCAAGGCTATAGCATTCATTACTTTGATTTAAGCACCATGTATGTTTCTTCAGTTCTGACTTCTCCTCTGAAAGCTAGAAGAGCATTTCCAGTTACTTACTTGACGCCGTTGATATCCCCAAGGCATCTTGACTCAGCCTTCCAAGATAAGACTCAGGGTCTTTACCCTCCTACTACCCTTTCCACGGTGTCTTTTTCTGTCTGAATGGAACTACATCCATCATGTGGCCCAACTTTGGAAACTGAAAGTTACTCTTATCAATTATTTCCCTCAACCACCCATCCATTATACAATCCTGTTGTTCATATCTTCTCAGTATGTCCCCAATATTCCCAGCTGACTTAGTCTCCATCAACTCCCCAACCCCCACCCCATCCCTGAGCCAGGCTGATATATTCACTTGCCTGAACCACTGCAGCATTCCCCTGACTGACCACCCCTTTCCATTCTTGTCACCTTCCAATGCCTCTATACCCAGAAGTCAGATGGATCTTTTCAAAACAAAAAACACAAATCATGTCACCCCTGTGTGAAACCTGTTACATGTACTTTCTCTTGTGTTCACTTCTGAATAATTTCCTGAAGCACAACATTTATAAACTTCTTGAGTAGAGAGAGGCATATGAAGTTGCCCATGTGAAGCACCAGGAATTACACTGAGCTTTCTCTAGACCTAGGAATAAATAACTCATATTGGTGATGGAAAGGATAAGGGGAAAACAGAAGAATTCAATGCCACTTCCTTTATGTCTTCAGTAATGGACAATAGATAGCATTTCTGACCTTTCATTAATTTCCCACCTGGCCTCTTTTATATCTGCAAACATAAAGTAACATTTCACAAATGCTGAAGCAGAGGGATCAGAACATACATTTTGCAAGAGATAGACCATTTTTGTAGCACATTTAGTTGTTCTTATCTTCTGTTATTTGGGGTTAGAAAATACAGGAAAATATATGAAACTTCTGAGGAAGCCCAGGTCTAACAAAATACAATTGATACAGACTTTTCCTGCCCTGACCAATCCAGCTAGCAAGAGAATTTTGTGATTAAAAGTTTCTTAAATTTCTTATTTCTTTCATTAGAGTAAACTTTCAAGTTGCCTTTCCATATTCTTATATTTCACTTCTACAATATTCTCTTTGCAGGTCAATTAAAAAGATCTTTCAGTCTATCACCTCTTATCCCATGGAATTCTGAACTGTCATTCTTTGAGCCATTGAGAGAGGATAAAAAGGTCTGTGGTGTGTTTCGAGAAATTCGTTATATCAGCAATGTGAAAGAAGTCATGGTGGACATGCTGGAAACTCAATCCCTGCAAAACCTGGGATTTTTCTGTGTTCTGAAAGTGTACCTGAAAAACTCAGCATGTAAAGTGCCAATGGTGGCCCAATTCCTTGGGAACTTTAGGTTAACTTACTGCAAAGTGTCTCCTTTCCACAAAGACTCTTCCAGAGTCTGAACATCTATGAGCAGGAAAACTAGCCTTGAAGGGTTTTCATGCCAACAGCATGAAAAAGAGTGGACTGTTCACACCATAATCTGGATTTCTTAATTTCTTTGTTTAGTATTTCTATGGGTTTAATTGTTTACTCATTCAAAAATATTTACTTACCATGTCTAAACAGATCAAGAGAGACCCAGGTCCTGGCTTCATGAAGCTCTCAGAGGGAAATAGAATAATTTCTGCCCTTAGAGTTGCCTCAGAGGTGGAAGGTCCCTGTCCCTGAGCCACTGTCCTGTCAACCATGGCACAGATTCCATTGTTCATCTTCACATCAAAATGCAGGCATTTAACAGCTCAGGTCATGACATGTATATTTTGGGCTTTGTGGGCCAGTGTGTTAGTTTATTATGGTTTTCCAGAGAAATATAATTGATATATTTCTTGGTTATTAATAATATCTTATTGTTTGTATTTATAAGCAAAGAAAAAGGGTTTGCACAAACTTATATTTTTAAAATATAGGTTTATATTTTCCTTTTCATCTCATGTAATTATCTATTTAATTTCCATAATTCTGATTTTCCAAGGACAGTCCTGGTGTATGCTTACTGTCCTGAGAAATTATTAATAGTGACTTCCCTCACTCTCCAACATGTCCTTTAGATATAAAATTAGGAGATAACTGATCAACTAACACATTTCCCTTAAAATTATCTCATTTGTCTGTCAGACATTAATTGCTATAGCAGCTTTGCTTTGTTATAATCTTTTTCCTTTTTAATTTTCTAATGTTACTTCACCCTTTGTCTCAGGAAACTCTCATATAGCTGCATTATTGTCTATTATTTTCTTCCACTTATTCTCAAAATGTCTGTCTTTAACTAATGTGTTTAGTTCATTTTCACTTGTTGTGTTTATTGGTATGTTTGGATGGCTTTTAAAGCATCCTTTTTGCTCCCTGTCATGCATTTGCTGTGTTTATTTTTACTTTTCCTTTGGATATACCAAGAGTTTACAAGTTCTTTTTTTAAAAGGAGATTTTACATTCTATGTCTGCCCCTTTACTATAAAAGTTACCTTTCATCGTTTCAAAACATTGCTATATAACTTCCAAAGCCAACATTAATCACTATGACAGCCTAGCCCCTAAACAATCTTAGACTATTTTAACTTGAAACCCCTCCTACCATACAAGTTATTTTGGTCTGGCTGTATGATTACATATTTTTATTAAAACTCTCTGAATCAGTCGTTATAAAGAGCCTTATCTTATTCTGTCTTTCTGTTGATGCTTAAACATATTTTAACACTCTCTTTGAGCAGTGATTTTTTTTGAGTGTCATTACATAGCTCTGAATCTGATTACTGTCTTCCTGGAGTTTATCTGTTACATATGCCCCAGAGAGAGTTTGTGAGCAGTGAAAGTGCTTAGATTTTGTTCATTTGAAAATGCCTGCATTTCACCATCATTTTTTCCCACTTGGCTTTGCCAGTTATGAGTAAATAAATACCCTCTTTTACTTCACAAAACTTAAGTTAGATTTCCATCGCATAAAATTGAGAAAGTCTTGATTAACACAAATAGTTTGAAGATTTATTTCTTTTTTTCCCTTGATCCCCCACCCCCACCACTTCTATCAGTTCTATTAATTCTTTTCATTTATATGTCTAAATGAGAAGATTTAATACAAGATATTGACTTACATCATAATGGAAGCTGAGACGTTTCACAATCTGCTATCTGCAAGCTGGAAACCCAGGAATGCAGGTGGTGTAGTTCAAAAACCTGAGAGTCAGAGAGCTGATGGTATAGATTCCAGTCTGAGATCTTGAGAACCAAGGAGCACAGAGGGTGGAAGACAGGTGTCCCTGCTCAGTCAGGCTGAGTTAAATCAAGCTTGCTCCACTTTTGCATTCTGGTTAGGCCCTCAACCGCTTGGATAAGCCCATCCACATTGGAGAGGGCCATCTGCTTTCCTCAGTTTACCAAATGCTAACCTCTTCTAGAAACATCCTCACATAGATCCCAAAATCATGTTTAACCAGCTATTTGGGCATTCTCTGACCCAGTCAAGTTGATAAATAAAATTAACCATCACAGCCAAATAAAGGCGAACTTTGGAGGCAGTGCAGATTCAGTTCCAGCAGTACAATAAAGTACATATTGCAGTAAAATAAGTCACACAATTGTTTTGGTTTCTCTGTGCATGTAGAAATTATTAAGTGAGCAAAGCATTATGTTCAAAAAACAATTCACATGATCTAACTAGAAAATACTTTAATGCTAAAAAGTACTAACCATTCTGAGCCAGTTAGATAAATGGTGCTGATATACTTGCTTGAGGCAGAGTTGCCATAAACCTTCAATTTGTAAAAAAAAAAAAATGTAGTGTCCACAAAGTGTCATAAAGTGAAGTGCAATAAAATTAGGGTATGCATGTATCTATAGCAACAACTCAACTCTGCCATTGTGTCATAAAGACAGCTATAGACACTCATGAATAACTGAATAAACATGCTGTGTTTTAATACAACTTCATGCACACTGCATTAGAATTTCATGTAATGTTCTCATGACACAAAATATTCTTCTGCTGATTATTTTCATCAATTAAAAATCTAAAAAAAATTTAGCTTGTCAGCTGTGCAAAAACAGGTGGTGAGCTAGGTTTGGCCTATTGGTTGGTGCTTGCTGACCTCTGTCCTAGGATGTTCAAGAGAGCTCTTTGTCCTTCAATAATTTATTTATTCACTATTCAAATATTTGATTAGCACTTGCTCTTTTGAAAGGGATGATGCTAGCTTGGAAGAAACTGAAATGAATGAGGCAGACATAATTTCTGTGTCCAGGATCTTGAGGACCTGTGTATTAGTTAGCTTAGGCTGCCAAAACAAAACCTCACAGACTGGGTGTCTTAAACAAAGGGGATTTATTTTCTCACAGTTCTGTAGACTGAGAAGTTCAAGATCAACGTTGACAGAGTTCAGTTTTGGGTGTGAAGCCTCTGGCTGTTGTGCTGAAGTCCACCTTCTTACTGTAGGCTCACAAGGGCTTTCCTTTGTGCTCAAACAGGGAGAGATTAAAAACGAGGGAAAACAACAGATAAAAAGGTCTTGTGTGTCTTTTGTGACAAGGCACTAATCCCATCATGAGGGCCCCACCCTTATCTAATTCTGATTATCTCTCAAAGGTGTAATCACATATTCCACCAAGTTGGGGTTAGTGCTTCAAAAGGAATCTTTCTGGGGGTTGCGGATACATGAACATTCAGTCCACAGCAGTGTGTAAGGTGGGAAACCAGGAAACCTGGAAAATGCAGTAGAGTAGATACTGTGGGGACAGGGCAAAAGGACACAGCCATGGCTGGGGAGGCAGGTGGGAGGGAGCTCTAGGGCTAGCTGTTGGAAGTATCCCTAGATGATTATGATTTGGGAGGCAGATCTCAGCATTTACCCTTTTGCTTTCTTTTTAAATCTACTAAATCTATTTTCTTTATTTATAATGCGAATAACAGCATTAATTTTCTCATGAATGTTCAGGGAGAAAATAAAGATTAAGTTCTAGTGTGAACCACAAAGACAAACAAGAGTTAACGAGGGAAGGTGGACTTGGGGATCTCCCAGCTTATTGCTCCAGAACTATGTCACCGAGTCAGAAACTGCCGTGAGACACGGCTCTGAAGTGGGGTTCCATTTCCCACACTGGGGTCCCAGTACAATCCCACTCCCGTCAAAGGGAGCGGGGAGGGGCTAAGGCACAAGGATGGAGAGGCCACTCCCTCCAGCTGCACTTCCGGGGTCTGCTGTGATAGCTCATATCACCCAGCGCCCCCTTTCTGGATCCATGGTCACTGTATGAATGAGGAAACAGGAGCTCATTCAGGATTGAGCCCCCTGGTGGAGAACACAGGATCTGGATGCCAGGAGCGCCTAACAAAAAACCGGAAGTCAGGACGCCACCCAGCACAGAACTAGAACCGTAAGTTTAAAGGTCAGGGACCACAAAACTACCAAGAGCAGAGCGTGCAGACTTGGAGTTCTCAGGTCCCAGGAATGACTTTGATATGCAGAAGTTGGATCTGGGTCCTAGTGATCTGAGCGTTCTGGCATGAGCCTGGGTTATGGAAGTTCCTCAGGGTTAGTGGGGCGGCCTCAGCTGGCACCCTGGAGAAGGAGGCAGGGATGGAATGAATGGAGGGACCCATGGGGGCAGCTCGGAACTGAGCTGGGTCAAGTCAGTCTTGCCCTGGGGCATTCTGGGGTGGGAATTTGAAAGACTGGTAGTGAGAACAAGACAGGAGTCTGGGAAGAACTGCGTGGAAAATTTTGTGAATGAAGATGGAAAAATTGGGAAGATGGTGAGGGGACCTGATAGGAATTGACTTGTATTGGAAAAGACTTGTGCAGGGAAAAAGACATTTTTTCTAGGAATTTGTGAGGGTTGATGTTAATAATTTATTTACTTTCCTGTTACCTTTTATTTACAATTTTCAAAATAAGATGAATTTGAACCGATAAACTCACATATGCTGTTCATCTAGAGTCAACAACTGCAAAAATTTAGAATCACACTGAAGTTCTTTCTTAAAGTATATGCACACATATACATGTTCTTGCTGAAATATGTGACAGTGGCAGATATCATGACACTTCATTTTTAAATATTTACCAAATATTGAAGAATTTAAATAACATTCTCTACGTAACTATACTATTACATCAAAGAAAATTATCAATTTTTATAACTTTTTAATATTTTTTTCTTAAATTATAGTTGAGACACATACATACATACCTCCCTGCACCTGCCCATCCCCTTCCCTGAGGGACCTGTTGGGTTTACTTCCCACCTACCACCAAGTCCTATAGCTTTTCTGCCAAACCATAACCTACCTGAGACTGCTCCTCCTGTCTCCACTGTCTCCACCCTGCCAGATTCACCATTATACCCCTACCCACTCCAGCTGGAACTGCTCCCAATAGGCTCCTGCTTCCACTGGTCTCACTGTGGACACAGGCCAGAGGTGTCTCTAAGCGGTGCAAGTCAGGTCAGATTCCTGAGGGAGCAGCCACCACTAAAGCAGCATTCTAATCCTTTCTCCCACAAAGGGGCCTCCTTTCAGAAATAACTTTCTAACTGCCCTCATTTGCATGGGTCCACCCCACACCCACCCTCTATCCCTCAGCCTGCTGGCACCCTCTGCCCACTTCGCTTCAGCGTTCCTCTCACAGCTGGAGGCTGCTCAGAAGAGTCCTCCTGCTCTGGGGCCCCTTCTCTCTAACCTTCTAGGAGTTGCAGTTCTTGAAGAATTCGGCAGATCTGGGCAGATAACCATTGACCACCAACCGACTCTAATCTGTCCCTGTCACTGTCCAGGGGCTGAAGGCGACTGTGCAGACTCAAAGGGTGGCCACATGGGACTCTGCACCGGGCACCTCCAGCCCTTGTAGGGCCAGAGCTTCTGGTGAGTGAGAACCAGGTGGTATCATAGTCGAATGGCCTGGCTTTCCTGTGGGAACTTGCACCTGCAGCCTTCATCTCCTCTGACTGCCGGCATTGCCCTGCACCACTGGGAGAGAGTACATGAGAGCCTCTCATGATATATACGTTTGGGGGGAAAGGCACTTTAACAGTCCTCAGTTATTTATTTATTTTTTTGGTCCCAGATATTTCTGTTAAGAAAGAGCAGGCCCCACTGAGCTGTGGCAAATGGCCAGTCCTGTCTTTGGGAGAGATTAAATTCTTCGTGACACAATTATGACAATGGTGGAGGTTACAATTGAATGTACTATACATAGCAATGATTTAACTGGACTTTTTAAAAATAAGTTTAAAAAGCACATTTGGTGAGAAACAGAGGAAAAATTTATTTTCTTTAAATTTTTAAAAAATTTTTGTTCAAGTACAGTTTTCTGCCTTTCCTCCCCACCACCCCAGTGCTCCCTGCCTCCCTCTCCTGTTTCCACCCCACCTTGTTATTGTCCATGTGTCCTTTATAATTGTTCCTGTAAATCTTTCACTCTTTCCCCCCATTATCCCCTCCCCTCTCCCTTCTGATACTGTTAGCCTGTTCCCAATTTCACTGTCTTTGGCTATATTTTGCTTGCTTGTTTGTTTGGTTGACTAGGTTCCTGTTAGTGGTGAGATTATATGGTATTTGTCCCTCACCACCAGGCTTTTTTTGCTAAGCATAATGCTCTCGAGTTCCATCCATGCTGTTGCAAAGGGTAGGAGCTCCTTCTTTCTTTCTGCTGCATAGAATTCTATTGTGTAAATGTACCATAGTTTTTTGATCCATTCATTTGCTGATGGGCACCTAGGTTGCTTCCAGCATTTGGCTATTGTAAATTGTGCTGCTATGAACATTGGGGTGCATAGGTTCTTTTGGATTGTTGTTTCAGGATTCTTAGGATATAATCCTAGCAGTGGAATTGCTGGATCAAAAGGCAGTTCTATTTATTTTTCTGAGAAAATTGCATACTGTTTTCCACAGTGGTTGTACCAGTCTGCAGTCCCACCAACAGTGCAGTAGGGTTCCCTTTTCTCCACACCCTCTCCAACATTTGTTGTTTGTTGCTTTGTTTGTGATGGCCATTCTGACTGGTGTGAAGTGGTATCTCATTATGGTTTTAATTTGCATCTCTCTGGTGGCTAGCAATACTGAGCATCATTCCATATGTATTCACATACAGTTGGTTCTTTTCATTTTAATGCTGTTTTCTTTAGCCATGCAGAAGCTTTTTATTTTGATGAGATCCCATTTGTTTATTCTTTCCTTTATGTCCCTTGCTCTAGGGGACATATCAGTGAAAATACTGCTGCATGGAATATCTGAGATTTTCCTGCCTACGTTCTCCTCTAGGACTTTAATGGTGTCACGACTTATATTTAAATCTTTTATCCACCTTGAATTTATTCTGTATATGGTGTAAGTTGGTGGTTGAGTCTCATTGTTTTGCATGTAGCTGTCCAGCTCTCCCAACACCGTTTGTTGAAAAGGCTATCTTTGCTCCATTTTATGCTTCTGTCCCCTTTGTCAAGTATTAATTGACCATAGAGACTTGGGTTTATTTCTGGGCTCTCTGTTCTGTTCCATTGGTTCATGTGTCTGTTCTAATGCCAGTACTAGGCTGTTTTGATTATAGTGGCCTTGTAATACTGCTTGGTATCAGATACTGTGATTCCTCCTACTTTGCTCTTCTTTCTCAAGATTACTGCAGCTATTCATGGTTGTTTATGGTTCCACATAATTTTTTGAAGTGTTTGTTCTGTGTGCAGTATGCCATTGGTACTTTAATAGGTATTGCATTGAATCTGTAAATTGCTTTGGGTAGTATGGATATTTTGATGATGTTAATTCTTTCAATCCATGAACATGGTACATGCTTCCATTTGTTTGTGTCTTCCTTGATTTCTTTCTTCAGTGTTGTATAGTTTTCTGAGTACAGGTCTTTTACTTCCTTGGTTAGGTTTCTCCCTAGGTATTTTATTTTTCTTGTTGCTATATCAAATGGGATTTTTAAATTGATTTCTGTTTCTGGTATTTCATTTTTGGTGTACAAAAATGCCTTTGATTCCTGGATATGGACTTTGTATCCCGCTGTTTTGTCAAATTAATTTATCAGGATGAGCAGTTTTTGGTGGAGACTATAGGGTTTTCTATGTACAAGAAGTAGAGGACAAATTCTTGAAGATAGATAATGTCTTTTCTAAAAAAAGATTTCATTTATTTATGTATTTGCTTATGACAGAGGGAAGGGAGGGAGAAAGAGAGGGAGAGAAACATCAAAGTGTGGTTGCCTTTCTCATGCCCCCCACTGGGAACCTGACCTGTAAGCCAGGCATGTACCTTGACTGGGAATTGAACCAGTGACTCTTTGGGCACAGGTTAGCACTCAATCCACTGAGCCACAGCAGTCAGTGCATACCTTAACTTTAATTTCAAGCACTGGATTAAACCATAATTACTGTATCCTTTAGTTTGGCCAGATGTAATGTTTGGAGAGAGAATTTCAGACCTAGAAACAGCTTCTGGAAAACCTTTCACTGAGAGAGAGCCTGGCATGCCCAGGGGCCCACAGCAGTCTGTGGGAAGGGGACACAGGGAAATGGGGTGAATTGACTGGAAAGTGAGTGAGCTGCAGATCCTTTGTTGCCTGGGAGTGTGGGAAAAGAACCCTGGCTCATGTTTTAAGGCTTCTGGGAGTTAGGGATGCATTTAGGTGAGTAAGCCCATGCATCTGTTGTTTTAACAGAGGCCTCCAGGACCTGGGATGATGGTGAGCCTCAGGGAGGGTGTGAGTGGTGGATGAAGGCAGTTGGGAATGGAGTGGTGGCAGTCTGGACTTGGGGTGGGTGAGGAGTCGATGTAGTGGGGGTCCCTAAGGCCATTCTCAGGTTCGATGACTTACTAGGAGGCCTCACAGGGTGCAGCATACAGTTGTGCACATGGCCATGGTTTGTTACAGGGAAAGTATACAAAGCAAAATCAGCCAAGGGAAAGGGCTCATGGGGTAAAGTCTCGAGGGAATCAAGCACAAGCATCCAGACCCCTCTCCCAGCAGAATGACATGGGATGCACTTAATTCCCTACAACGTGCAGGGACAACAGGTATGAAGTGTTATCTGCCAGGAGGCTCATTCGGTACCCAGAGATTTTACCCAAGGCTGGGCACGTGTGTGCCCTCTGCCCAGAGCATGCCTATACTCCAGACTCCTAGAAGGAAAGCAGGCATGGAGCACAGACTGTACTGTACAAACACTTTAAGCAGAGTGCACTCCTCTTATCAGTGAGGGTGGTGGGAACCCTCTTGAAATCCAAGTTTGAAGACTGAAGCCAGGGGTCCGACCCTGCCATCAGCCTTGCTAAGGAGCACAAAGCTGCTGTATTAAGTCTTATCTGCATGGTAGGGAAGGATGGAACATTCATTCCTAGACATGCAGGTCAAGTTGAGATAGTTTTGGTGAGTTTTGTGTCTATACATTTAGCAGATGAGGCAGAGCGTTTATGTGCCAAGCATGGTGTGGGGGACAGGGTTGTGACATCTGAGTCACGAGGGAGTGACATTTATGTGGATCCAAGAGGGAGGAAGGTGTGACTGGCATGAGCCCTGGAGAGGGCCAGGTTAGGAGGAAAGAAAATGGGCGGGTGGGGTTGGGGAGCTGTGGGTGCCTCATGTAGAGAGGTCACGACTCATTGTTTGTGGATTAGTTGTTGGGGTCTGTTGAGTGTCAGAGGGGGGTGAGATTTCTCATGTAAAGGGGGGATGTCATTTCCTGATATTGGGAACACTGGAGGAAGAACAGGCTTTGGGAAGAAGGTGGTGAGTGCATGCTTTTTTAATAGGGAGCCAGTAAAACAAGAGAAATTAATGCGTCATAGTTCTAAGGGCACAGAAGTCTGAAATTGAGGTGTTGGCAGGGTTGTATTTCCTGTGAAATCTGGTCCTTCCTTGCCTCTCTTCTGGCTTCTGGAGCTTGTGGCATCCTTGGTGTCTCTTGGCTTGTAGATACATTGGTCCAGTCTCTGCCTGCATGGCCACGTGGCCATCTCCCCACATGTGTCCATGTTTCTGTGTCTCTTTTCCTCTTTTTGTAAGGACACTAGTCACTGGATTGAGGGCCCATTCTACTTCACTGTACTTCATCCTAAGTAATTACATCTGCAAAACCCCTGTAACTCAAATAAGGTCACATTTCAAAGTACTGGGAGTTAGAACTTCCTCTTTTACTGGGGAACAGAATCCATAACAGTCTGCCTTCAGCTTTCCCCATATTTATGCCCTCCTCACATGCAAAATGCATTCACGTGATCCTAACATTCCCAAAATTTTTACCCATCCCAGCATCAAGTCCAAGTCTAAAACTTCATCTAAATCTCATCAACTCAGAAAGTCACAAATTTCATCATGCAAATCATCCAAATCAGGTACAAGGGTTGACCTGGGGTATGGTCCAGCCTGGGGGCAAACTGTCTCTCCATCTGTAAACTTGTGAAACCAGAGGAGGGCATCTCTGCATCCAGAATACAAGGGTAGGATAGGCTCAGGACAGACATTTCCATTCCCAGTGTGAGAGAAGAAAGGGGTCCTGGGTTCCAGGCCAGTTTAAAACCCAGCAGGACATTATCAAAGCCTGGGAACAATCCTTTGTGGCTCGAGGCTCTATCCTCTGCCTGCTTGGGCAACAGCCCTGCTCTCTGGCTCATTCTGGATATTCTGTTCTGGTTCCCCCAGATAGGTGGGTGGAGAGATTAGAGCCAGGGGTTGGGTGTCTGGGTCTGGAGTTCAGATGACTCAGCCTACAGATCTGGGCCTTGTGAAGTTGAGTTGGGAACTGAAGCCTAGAGGAGGAGGTTGGCAGCTGAAGCAGAGAGGACTGAGGGGGATGAGAAGAGGAAGGTCTGGCACATGGGCATGCTAGCCAGAGATGAGGTGGAAGAGGAGCTTGTACAGAAGACTGAGAAGAGGACTGGGTGTGTGGGTGCTGTGTGTGACCCTGTGAGTGTGTGCATACAAGTGTGTATACACGTGGTCACTGCCATCAGGGTGGGCAGCCCTCAGGCCTCTGAGTAAGCTCACTGGGTCTCAGAGCTCCCCTCTTCTGCTCTAGATCTGCCTGCTCAGGACCCTGAGTGGCTGCAGGGGGAGAGAGTGGAGGAAGAAGCTGTGATTCCTGGGGTGCCGTCCACCTGTGTACCAGTAAGGAAGACATCCTTCTTGCTTTTCTTTCTCGCTTTGCCTCGTTGTCCCCTTTGCATGGCCTGGAACTTCTCAACCCCACAGGGCTGATATCCAGGCACAGGTACTAGGCCTCTCACAGTGGTGGAGACCAGCCTAGGCAGTGACCTCCACCCCTGTCACACCTTCCCCAGGTTGTTGAGTGTCGTGTGCTGCTGAGCATTAGGAGGGAAAACAAAGAAAGAGTGTGAGCTGCCCTCTTCTTATAACCTTCTTGGTCTCCTGGAGCAAATATCTCTCTCTTGCCTGTAGCAGGCTCAGCTCTGCTGGACTCTGGGGCTAGTGGGGAATACAACTGCAAGGGCTTCCTGGCTAGTTGTCAATAGCTAAGTCCTGTCATGAAGTTGAGGTCCTTTGATGCTATGCCTCTGGATTCTTTCCCTCTGGAAGGGAAAAGTAGAGAGAGAAGAGTTTTAGTCTTGAGGCCTAAGCCAAGGGACAGAGGTACTTCAGGGCCCCCATCTGAAAATCCTCTGTACAGTGGCTCCCTGCCCCAGGCTTGCTTGCCCCCCCATCATCTTCTTGAGTATTGGCAGAGGTGGCCCCTGACTGAGCCTCGTGGGTGTGCATTTTAGGAACCAGTCACCTTTGCAGATGTGACTGTACTCTTCACCCTTGAAGAATGGAGGTTTCTAGACTCTGCACAGAGAAGCCTGTACAGAGATGTGATGCTGGAGAGCTACAGGAACCTGGCCTCAGTGGGTAAGGCTGGTCTCATTGCTTCATCCACACACACACCCAGCAAGTGTGGGTTCCAGGAACTGAGAGGTGAAGGCAGACTGTCATGGTGCCTACAGTGTAGTGCCTTCCCAGTGGAAATAAAGGTCTTTCTGTTCTTTCAGCTTCTCAAACACATCCCTGGGCTAAACCCTTGGTTTTGGGGACCAGAATGTTGCAGTGCCTCTGGAGACCCAGTGAGGGAGCTTGTTTCTTAGTGGAAGAGCTCTGCTATGCCCATCAGGATTTAGGCAGGCTCATTTCACTGCTCCCATGCCAGGGCCCCCAAAACTGTCAGCCTCGATTTTGAGGCACGTGCAGTCTGCCCACTCCATGTATCTTTCCCTACAAGCAGGAGGTCAACTATGCATGCTCAGTACCTTTTCCTATTTGGGGCAAAGAGAAGCGATGTGGACCACTGAGAAAGGGATCTTCCCAAGAGTCAGAACAGGTGAGCACCAGGCAGGTGAGTGGAGCACCAGCTCTGATCAGTAAGGTGAATGTTAGATTTGGAAAGTGTCAGTAAAGGAACACTTTCAACGTCCTTGACAGGGAATGCTGTTGGTTGAGCTTCCTTAGAGCAACTTTTTTCCTTTCCCCTTTCCTCTTCTTATTTCCAGTAGTTTACTCTGGCTTCATAGAATGATTTATCCCCTGTGCTCTTCACATTTAGCATTTCCATGTGTATAGTTCATGCAGTTACTCCCCACTGTAGGTTGTGAGTACTTTCTCTCAACATCAGTCTTAGTCTTATTAAATTATCTACTATTTCTGTCCTTGGTTTCTGTGATTACATGATTCCTCATATAGCCAAATTCCTTAAAATTTTCCTTTACTCTCTGATACACTCCTTCTTTTCATCATTTCTTTCTGTATTTAAGGTCAGTATTTAAAAAATACTCTACATGTGCCTTGCTTACTTTTTTGGTCCACTTGATCCTACAGTTTCCTTCTCTGTACACTTACTTTTTTCCCCTAATTCATTTCAGAACCTCAGCTTCAACCCCAAGAGTCCATTCTTAAGCAAGTTACTTCTGCAGAGATCCCATCCATTGGCATGAAAAAAGTAAGGTACACAAATAATATACTTGGCCTTCTATAATAGCAAAAGTCTGGGGTTGAAGCTGAGGCTCTGAGGCTAGAAAGAGATTGAAGGCAAGGGGTGCTCACCCAGGAGAAAGCTGTTTTTTGGGAGAGAGTCTGTGAATCTCGTGAAGTGAGAGAAAACTTGAAACGCAGACCAAGACACATATTGACAGAGTTCTCACACCTAACCATGTTCATGAATGAGAAACAGACATAGTCAATTTAAACTTAGTGCAGCCCTGAAGGCATGGCTCAGTGGGTTAGGTTGGTTGGGAGTGTGTGAGAGGCAACTGATGAATATTTCTCACCCTCTGTTTCTTTCTCCTTTCCCCTCTCTATAAACAAACAAACAAACAAACAAACAAACAAACTTAGTGTAGCCTTAAGCAATTCAGAAAAAATCTACAGCTAAGAAGCCCATGAAAGAAATGGAAATGATGGCTCTTTGTGGTGTCACATCCATGTGACAGAACGTAGGTAGAAATAGTACAGACACATAAAAGTGGTGAAAGGTTCAGCTGTAGAAATGCCTTGATTCCACACACAGTTCACTTGGAGGAGAATGTTGATTGTAACAAAGTATTTGGCCTTTGCATTTTCCTCATTTGACAGGAGCAGACTCCACCTGGGGAAAAAACCTGCAAATATAATGAACTTAGACAACACTTTGACAGCATTAAACAACTTTTTCAGTATGAGAGAATTCATGCTGGAGGCAACCCCTACAAGTGCCAAGAGGGTGGGAAAACCTTCTTCCAGACTACTCGCCTAATAGTGGGTGAGAAGATCCATAGTGGAGATAAAACCTGTGCATGTAACAGATGTGAAAAATCCTTCAGATACAGCTTCAAACTTATCAGGCATGAGAAGACCCATGCCTCAGAGAAGTGCTTTGAATGTGAGGAGTGTAGGCACACCTTCAAGTACTCCTCGAATCTGTGGTGCCACATGAGGACTCACACTGGAGAGAAGCCCTTTGAGTGCAGTCAGTGTGGAAAAACCTTCATGAAGAACTTCAACCTGACATTGCGCCAGAGGAGCCACACAGGTGAGAAGCCCTGTGGATGTAAGGACTGGGAAAGCTTTTAACCAGCTGTCCTCTCTGAGGAGCCACATGTGGCCTCACACTGGAGAGAAGCCCTTTGAGTACAGTCAGTGTGGGAAAGCCTTGAGGGAGCATTCATTCCTGAAGACTCATCTGCAGACTCACACCAGAGAGAAACCATATGAATGCAGCCAGTGTGAGAAGCCCTTTTGGACAAGCACCCATCTGAACATTCACAAGAAGATCCACACAGGGGAGAAAATTTATGAGTGTACTACTTGGCAGTCAGGTGCTGAGTTGTCTCTCCACCCTCAAGAGTCACATGCAAACCCACCATGGGAAGAAACTCTATGCATGTCAGGTATGTGGGCGGGCCTTTGGCCAGTCTTCACACCTTATGGTGCATGTGGGAACCCACATCGCAGGGAGACCTTATGAATTTAATCAGTACGAGAAGGCCTTCAGGCACAGCTCTTCACTTACTGTGTATAAGAGGACACACACCAGGAGAGAAAACATCAGGAATGGTGGCCTTTCTTTATCAGCATCTCATTTGTTTGGTGGGCCCCTTGCTAATTAACTTCCGGTTTGTAAAAAGAGAAACATTTGGGCCTGTGATCATCTCTCATAGTACTCGTTTAGCTACTACTTCACTTGTTTTGGTGTCTAATTACATTTTTGTTAGATTCTAAATATTGTCTTAGTTGCCATTATGATTAAATCTTTGACTCTTATTTGCAATTTGATTTTAAAATAATTATACATGGTTATATTTTTGTAGAGGTATAATTACTTATAGTGGAATGCATAAACCTTGTAAGTTGGATGATTTTGAACAGATGTATACATGCTTGTAATCAACACCCCATTGAATGTATAGATAATTTCTGTCATTCTGGAAAGTTTCTGCATATATATGGGCATTTTACAGTTGCATTTTTGCTGCTTATAATTCAGTTATGTTGTGAGCAGAGTATGTGGTCTTTGTGTTATCGAATCTTAGGTATTTGTTGAGATTTGCTTTTTGGTCTAGTGTGGCATATTCTAGTAGTTGCTAACCAAAACTGCCTCTTTTCCTTACAATATAACTTAGGTGTTTTTTTTTTGTTCAGATTGGTAATGTGCTGTATGAGAAAACCTCCTTCTTCTAGCCCTTCTGCAGTCAGAGAAGGCCACTACCCCCAGTGCTGGTCAGCATGAGAAATCGCTGCATGTGACTCCTGGGAAAGAGGTGGGAAAGGAGTGGTGTCATTCAGCCACATGCCTCCACTTGCCTTTTGTACAAACAGACATGATGTCCAGTGATAGAGGATAAAAGCCACCAGCTAAAGAGAGTATGGCCAGAGGTCACAATCATTCTAGTTCCCCAGTTGGTGTCTTTATGTGTCTGCACCAGCCCTGGACTGTTTATTTCTGGACATGTTGTTAGATGAAGAGGATGCACTTCTTACTGGTATGTGACATGGGGTCTTTTGAGGAGGGAGGTGGACTGGGGAAGGCAGGGAAGGGCCTCTTATAGTTGAATACAGTTTCTATCTGATGCACTTAGTACATGGTCAGTTTTTGTAAGTGCTTCATGGGTGGTTGAAATCAATGTATTGTATTGACATATCTACTAAATTGAGCATACTATTTGTGTTTCAAAATCTTTTGCACATTTATAAATATAGGTCTTTGTGTTAGTCAATTTGGGCTACTATAACAGATACCACAGCCTGAGTGGCTTATGAACAACAGGAATTTATTTCTCACAGTTCTGGAGCCTGAAAGTCCAAGATTGAGGTGCTGGCAGATTTAGTGTCTGGTGAGGACCTGCTTCCTATTCACAGTTGACCAACTTCTCTGTGTGTTCTCACATAACAGGAGTGAGGGCACTCTCTGGGGTCCCTTTCATAAGGGCACCAATCCTCAGCCATAAGTGTTCCACCCCCATAACCTTATTACCTCCCAAAGGCCCCACCTCTAGATGTCATCACATTGTGGATGGCTTCAGCCTATGAATTTGGGGACATACACATCAGTCCATAGGAATCTCTGATCTGTTGTTCACTGAAGGAGCTATGGTGCACTCTCCCACCATGATTGTGGGTTTCTGAATCAGTCTTGTAATTCTGTCATTTTAAATTTATGTATTTTGAAGCTATGAGATTAAATGAACTGATGATTAAAAAGTTGTATTTATTTTTTAGAGAGAAGGGAAGGGAGGGAGAAAGAAATATTGATGCACAAGAGAAACATTGATTGGTTGCCTAGGTATGTGACCCAATCAGGAATTAATCTGGTGACCTTTCAGTTTTCAAGACAATGTCCAACCTACTGAGCCAAACCAGGCAGGGCTGATTTTTGATATTTTATAAGTTCTGCAAATTGTTTCTTATAAAGTGACCATCTTTCTCTCTAGCAATAAATATTCAACTACTTATCACCATAATAGCAAATAATTATTTAGAGCTTAATATTAATTGATGGTATTTCCCAAAGCTTTGTATCTTTTAAGGTATTTAGTCCCCACAGTGATACCAAGGGAAGGACTTTCATTATCTTCAGTTCACAGAGGAGGAAACTGAGGCCCAGTAGATGAGGTGAAAGAACCAAGGCTATGCAGGTGGTAAGTGACAGAGTCTGGATCCACATGGTCTTCACAGTGCTTTACCCAATGGGGCTATTCTTCATTTCACCTGTTGTCACAAAGTTCTGTTTCTGTGTTTTAACTGAGGTATAACTTATGTTACAGTTCATAAATTTTAGTGCCCACCTTGATGAATTGTACATATGCCTGTACCACCCACATCAAGATGTAAAATATTTTCTCTCCCAGTATGTGAGCTCCATCCCCAGAGGTAACCCATGTTCTGACTTCCATCACCATAGATTTGTTTTCCTGCTCACAGAAATGAGACCTCAAGTATACCCTCTTGTGTGTTTTATTCACTCAGTGTCCATGAAACTTATCTTTGTCACTTTATAAGTACTTCATTCTTTCTAAAAATTGCTGTGTAATATTCCATCATCTGAATATACCAGAACTTTGAAGTTCTAGTCTTTATGGATGTTTAGATTTTTCCCAGGTTTTGCTGTTATGAATGATGCTGAGGTGAGTGTTCCCATGCGAGTCTCACTGTGGTCACGTTCTCATTTCACTTGGGTAGAAACCTGGGATGGCACTGCTGGGTCACTGGGTAGGCATATCTTTAGCTCAAGTAGATACTGCTGAACAATTTTCCAAAAATGGTTGAAACAATTTATACTTCCCTCATCATGAATGAAAGTTTTATTTGCTGTGCATCCTTGACAGCACATGCTACTGTCAGTCCATGTGATTTTAGCTGCATTAGTGAGTAAGTGGCTTCCTGTATTCTAATTCACAATTTATGGGGGCAGGTGAATAGTGATGTGGTAGATGGTTGCCACAATTCCTTCCACCCCTCCTCGAAAATCTTTCTTCAGTGTGACTCTTGTGTTCCTATTAGGAGATGGAGTGTAGTTCTGTAGGCCTTGAAGGGAAGTTTGATGACATGATTTGTTTGGCCAACGGAACATTATGAAACATGAAGGAAGCAGAGGCTTGAGAAACACACATTGGGGTTTGCCCTCTTTTCTTGAGAGCAAAGTGTGAGAAGCTTGGGTCAGCCTCTCACATGGAGAGGGGTATTTTTCTGGTGGTCAGTACCAACCAGCAGACATGCGAGTGATGCCATCTTTGATCATCTGTCCCAGGGAAGCCACCAGGTGACAAGTTGAATGAGCGATCCTAGGTGAGGCTGTCAGAACTGCCCTGCTGAGTGCTGCTCATGTTGCTGACTCACAGGATTATAAGTACATGAGGTGGTCAAGTAGGGATAGAGAACTGACAGAAGTTAGTATCAGAAAGAGGAGGCTGCTGCAATGAAACTGAAATGGTGGCTTTGACTTTAGAATTTGGCAGCAAGAAAGCAGCTGAAAAAGAGTGAAGAAACTTAATGTCTGGAAACACAGTGAACAAACTGCTTCTCAATGTTAGGGAAAGGCTACATGGTAGGGAAACCACTGGCAAAAATGTCTGTGGTAACTTGGAAAATAGAACATGTACCTAATGAACTTGTGGATATGTCTGAGAGGGAGGCTTTCTCCCACCTCTGGACCTATGCTCAGCCTTCCTCATGGGTGCCCAGTGGTGGCCCAAGAAGAGCCTGTGAGCGGGTGAGAACTCACACCAGCCTGCACTTGGCCTTTAGCAATTGGTTAGGAATTTTAGCAGAAATCTTACCCTCTTGTCTGGTGGCACTGTCTTCATCCTGTGCTACAGGTGAGTCAGCACTCTGTCCACCTCTCTTCCCCTAGGTGTCAGGCTAGTCAGTTGCTTGTGGCTTGAGCTTTCTGCTGGTGCCAAGAAAGTTATGTTTTTATGAATTACTCAGCCTTGTCTTTTTGCTGTGGTGGCAGCAATATCCACAACATTTCTAAATCCAAAGTGGAAGTCAGAGACAGGGTTCTTCCTACATTCCACTGTTTTTAGAATTATTTATTGGAGTTGATCATCTTTTCTGTAAGTTCCCTGAGGTCAGAGACCATATGAAGCCTGTTCAGTGTGACTTCCTTTAAGCCTAGCCTGTGCTGGATAGAAAATAAGTTTTTGATATGCTTGCTAAGTCTATATGAATTCGTATGCGGCCAATGCTCCCAGGTGGAGTGTGTGTGTTCTCTGAGCCCAACAGGGTGTAGGTTCCTGTGGGCTGCTTCCTCTCAATCTCAACAGTGAAAGCCTCTATCTCTGAAATCCACCATCTCAGCAGCCTGTACTGAGAGTGGAGAGAACATAGTGTCCGGCATTCACGGGGGATTTAATATTAGGTAGTTCCTAGTCACCTGGGTCAGCCTGAGGCTCTACTCTTAGACTGTGCAATGGGAGAAAGGGAGTGTGTGTGAGGATCAAAGATTATCTTAAAAGACTCCTCCACCTGTCAGACCTTCAAAGGGCACTTTTCCCCAAGAGGTGTACTTCTGCAATCTGAACTAGAAGGTAAGGTGAGCATACTGGAAAGGCAGGTACCAGGTGGTAACCAAGGTAAGCAGGGTTTTAGATAATGTTTGTGGCCGTCATTGTGCTATTATGTTTATTCCTTTTTTTTTTTTTTGCAATGAAAGTACAAAACTTTGCTTATCAGAAAAGCCATTGGTTGATCCATGTTATTAGATTCAATGATAGTCTACCAAAGTACATGGAAGCTAAGAGGAAATACTGCTAATGGAGTAGTATATTCTTGGTTATGTTATTAAAATCAAAATGTGTATGTCAGCTCAAATATGCTCAAACATAGTGTGTTTGCCTCCATTCACAGTATCTTTCTCTGAAAAGTATTTTAGCTAAGGTTCTTCAATCAGGAAAAAAGCTATCCTCATTTCTCATGAAGGCTGGGATATTGGTGCTGCTTCCCTATGTGGATGGCAGAGGGGAGTGGAGGTGAGAGACTGTAGGCAGCAAGTGTGTTCATCACAGGGATTTCACACCAGCTCTGTGCAGTGCCAGGTGCGGGGGGACAGCCCTGGATTTGGGTCCTGTGTTTCCCACAATAGGATCCCTCAGGAAGGGACCATGCCTTT